TGGAACTATCCATGCTGAGTCTCACTTTGGAAGCCATTCTTCTCCTTCACAGCCCCCTGCTCCCATCTGCCCAGCAAATATCTGCTCATATTTCAGGTCTCAGCTCAACCTTCCCATTCTTTGCAAGGCTTCATCTGTTGTGGCCCCCACTCTCACCCTGAAAAGAAGTGACCACTTCTCTTTTGGGGCTCCATCTCCCCATATATATTGTCAGTGTCAGTTTGCCTCTCTTGGACTGTAAATTTCTTAAAGACACTATCTCTGCCACGTGCATCTCTTTACCTTGGTGTCTGGCTCATAGTAGGATTAAAAGTAAATATCCACTGAATGGATTAGAAATGAAGCCCGACCTGTGGTCAAAGGCTAAATGAGTATGACAGCGGAGCAAATGTTGATCACTATAGCATACTGAATCATCACAAAGGCCTGTCTGCAGATAGCTCTGCTGTTTGTAAACTCACTAAGTCTCAGTATGCATTAGCAAACAAGTCGTGGGTATTCTCTAGAATGTAAGCTGACTTCCAGGGACAGAGAAAGGGAGGTGGTGCCTCCTATTGGCTTGCTTCCTTAGCAATCTGCAAAAACAAAACCCAGCAAAACAATTCCCCCTTTCCCAAAAGTTGGCACCGGCTCAAGTTTTTCTTTTCCAAAATACTTTCTTTGGTCAGGCAGCACTCCCCACGCTATAGCTGTTAGGCATTAGTGTGCTCTGAATCCACTAGAGAAGGTCAGTCCTGAATACCAAACAGATGCAGAGCCCTGAGTTCCCAAAACTGAAGTCCAAGGATTGAAATGCGTAACAATAGCCATCTTCTCTGTTCATGCTGTTCTCAGCTTTGCCATAAGCAGGCATATTTCAGAGACTGGCCTTGGGCTATCCTAATTTCCACACCGGAAGTGAGGAACACATCATTTGAGACAGAGAAGTAATACAAAGGAGTGTTTTAGTTTTACAAGCACACACATGCTCCTTGTTTCTTGACAAAAACACTTTGGATCCAGTTGCCATCACAGAAACACCAAGGATACAAGAGCAAGGATTTTTTTTTTTTACGAAACAAAAACTTTTGTACTAAATAAATAAAATAGAGCAAACCCAAACCAAAGCACAACAAAAATAAGTCCCCTTACTCCAGATTACCTATGAATTTCAGATGGAAAGCCTTATGCAGTAAGAGAAAAAATAAATGGACCCATGCATTAAAGAGATTGGGTAGTTAATTTAGGTTGAGGGGAACAGCCAAATAATATTAAATGGTTATGGTAGAAAGTAAGTTTTGGATATTCTGCTTTCACATTACTACCCAAACTTGTAAAAATACTCAGAGCAGCAGAAAGAAGGGCTAAATTTAGACCCTGACTTAATGCATTCAAGAGCATGATTCATTTTCCCCCTGCCCTGGTACAGCCTAGGCAATCTGTATGTGTGGCAGGCTATACAAGGATGCCCTGTAAATAAAGGGAAATCTCATTCATTCAGAGGCTCAAGGTAGCTAGAGACACCCCATCTTCTCTGCCAACAAAGGTGTATTTCTAGGTACTTCGCACACCATGGAACCAGATTTCCCAACTGGTGAGAGTTCACCTAATTTTAGCTTTGCCCTGGCATTGGAATGAATGTGCTAGAATTTGATGCTGTTGCTCTTTTCTCTAAGTGGCTTTCCCCCCTCTCAGGCTCCAGTGGGATCCTGACCAGCTCTCAGGTGCCATGCAACATCGGTCACTTTAATGAGACACTTAAAAGGATGTCATCATTTGGTAGCAATGCCTTTAGCAAGCTGGGGCTCAGGTCACTGAAAGGCAGCCCATATACTGGGTCTTAGAGTGCACGTATTATATATAACGTAAACATCTAAGATGATGTGGGATAATTTGAAAAATAACCACAAACCCAAACCTAAGCAAGCCAACAACAACAGTGAGCTCAATTCTATATTAGTACAGCAGGGCGCTAGGCAAAACGTCCGGAGAGAGCAGACCATCACTGTCCTTTCCCCAGTTTGTTCCATTATCTGCTGCTGCCCATCATGGTCGTGCACTCACACCTGCTCTTGACACCAAGCAAATATTTTAGCCTCTACAGATAATCAAGATTAATGCCAGACTGTCATTTGTATTCATCTAACCTAGTTTAGAGGCGAAAACCACCTAAATTGGGATTTTACAGTGACTCCATTCTATTTCTTTGGCTTTTAGTTTTAAGCACATTTGGAAAGTAACCTTAGAAGCCTCATTTCCAGCTGTTTTCACCTTATGGAAAGTTTCTGGGCTTAGGACACACTACAAGAAAAGAAAATGAAATGTATGTAAAAAAATGTGTAGTTCAGTAACATTGCCTTCCGGAAGTGAGGGCATTAAAGCTGTCCTCCCTTCTGAGGTATAAGAAAGATGGTAATAGTCCACCCCTTGACTCCCATTTATACATCCATAGACATTCATCCCAAGAAATATTATTTCCCCAAACGTGAAATGGGTTCAGCAGTTTTGCAGTAAAAAAAACAGTTAGTTATGGAACACGTGCATTAGGTTAGAAATGAGTCGCTCTGGGAAGGTGTGTGTGTGGGTGTGAATGAACAGCGCTGGAGAGGTCCACACATGGGCACACTGGCAAGATGGGACTGGCAGACCCTGGGCAGGGCTGTGGGTCCAGGTGGATATGAGGTCCAATCAGCCTGATCACATGCTTCGCAAACCAGCCTGGACAAGGCAGAGAAGAGGCAAGACACCGTAGGACAGCGTTAATGATCTGTACCTTTCTCAAGTGGCTTGGTTCTTAGGTCTCCTGGGCAATTCTGAATGACCAGCTGGGGCAGTCACCCAAAGCCCCTTGGGCTTGTCCAGTACCATAACATGAAAATCAAAATACTTCAAAGATAGGGATGTTCTATGACCTTGGCCAAATAGAATGACCAATTTAAGGGCAGCTTCCGATACTCATTTGAGAAAGGACAAATACTCTTTAGCACTCTAAACAGCAAACTGGCTGATTTAGCTTAGAACAGTTGGCTACCATTGTAGCCAATTTTGGAATGTCAAAAAGGAAGGTAGGTTGGGGAAAGGTGTCACAAAGTTTGCATCCATCCAAGGCTGGGTCAGCTACATATTGAGATTTGGGGTAGAAATTGATTCTCACACATGTAGAGCACCACAGATCTAATGAACAACGAGGGACATCTATTTTCATACTTCACTCACACAAAACACCTCTCTTCCATCTCTGGGGTTGCGGGGGTGGGTGGTGTTCCAGTTCTAAACTACAATCAGCCCTTCTTTTAGAATAACAATAATAAATCCTCTTATTCAGCCAGATGGTGGTGTCTGTTGCACTAGGTTGGGCTCATAGTACAACATCAATAAATGGCCACTTGTAGAGGGACAGACAGAATCCCATTTATAAAACATACCCACCCTTCCTTCCTTCTCCCATCCCAAAATGTTGCATTGTCAAAACACCCAGGGGGGGCTAGGTCTCATTTTGAGGAAAAAAGGAACATTAAGGAAGGCAAAATAATGTACGTGGAAAGCAATTTGTGGGGGGGGATAATACATTTAATCTCTGAGGAAATGATTGTCGATGGGCTTTTAGTTGCTTTGTCCTCAGGGAGCATCTGAAAGGAGGATCCCCAAAGGGTTTCCCCTAGGCCCTGGAAAGCTGTCATGGTGAAGGCTGCACATTGCCAACCAGGAGATGGAGTTAATAATTCTTCCTCAGTGAGCTTGGCGAAGTCTCCTGAAATGAGTATTTGTTCCAATGAGGTGTTCCCAAAAGCCTTCTGGCCTCAGATAACTCCTTTTAAGAAAGGTATTTGTTCAAAATCCATCACAGGAGGGAAAAGGACATATTAATGTATCCTGTAGCCAATGTACACACGCTCTACCCAGGCCCAGAGGGCTCAGACGCTTTGCTGTGTGCTCCTTATTTACTTTGTCTCAGTCCTACCTGGGATGCTGACTAGTCTCTGCTCCAGCTCTCAATAAACTATACTACCTGGTTACGTAACCCTAATCCACGTCCACAGTCCAGGGCTCAGATGGCTGGCCTGTCAGCAAAAAACTGTTTTAAAAATGTTAATTCAACAATGTTGGAGGGATGTTATTTCTAGAGCTAAACTCCTCAGGGAAAACGAGAAGGAGTTGCTCCAGGGACGTGGCTCCTCCATACTGAAAGATACTTCTTTCCTGATGCTCTCTTCCCATATAATGTCCCAATGCCTGGGGTGCCCTGACATTTGGTCCAAATAAAATGCTGGAACAGACTCCCAGGATACAACTATCTCCAAACTCTATAGAAGGGGGTGTTCATTACGGAGAATCAGCGTCTATTAGGGCATGAAACATTCCTCACACTGAATCATTTCATGATATAGATACTATTTTTTTCCCCTGGCATTTACAGCAAGCAACTCAGTTTATAACCTAAGGCATTTTCCATACTTCCAGGCAATGAATACTAGCTTCTTTTGAGTCTCAACAGCACATAATTTAAGACAGTGGGAAAAGGAGCTAGAGAATAGTTTCCATTGCAAGGAAAACACCATGCAGATGTTTGCCCTCTTGAATTCTATGGCAAACTAGAGAACTGTTTATTTGTTCTGAAGTCAAACCCAAGGAATGTAGTTTTTACAGGCTGGGGGCTGGGGTAGGGGTGGGGAGTAATGACATAATATATGAATAATATTGAAATGTTCAACACATGGCCCTCGGATTTCGAATCCCCAAATAATTTAGATCTTTCATAATGGGTCTTGATTAAATTTGGTACACCAGATGTCAATTTGTGTCACAGAGATGACATACCAGAAGAAACACCTAAGTACTCCTTCGTTAAAATTGTATATTCACCTTCTGCAATTGATTTTTTACCTCCAAGATAGCAAGCTAGGAATTGGTCCTCTATCTTGAGCCATTTATTGAGAACAAACAAATGAACTTAGAAAAGACATGACCCAATTGAAGTTCAATACCTGACTTTGGTGTATGAGAATCATAAACTTGCTTACGGTCTATCTGGTCTGCAAACACTTCCCCATAAATCATCCAATAGGGCATGTAGAAGATGTTCTTGGCCAGTTTCCATGATGGCTCTTCATTGGGAAAGAGGATGGCTTGCCTGGCGACCCCAAAACTCATCAGTACCACCAGCATAATGATGACAAAGTACATCATGTCTATCATCTGGAAGGGTGGGAAAGCAGAGGGAGAAACAAAAGAAAAGTCACATGATTGTTTGATATCAACACTGTATGTATGACTGATTTATGATGTCAACATTGATGGAAACCTTTGAAGAAGGTTCACTTTCAACACTTCTGTTAAGGGATATACAGACAGACAGCTCTGTCCAAGTAAGAAAGAGAAAACTTGGTCTGTTGAAGCACTGTCCACAGAATTTTATCAGTAACTCAAAAGCATTAAAAAAAAAAAAAAAAAAAGCACACATAGAAGGGAAGCCCCTCACTTTTCACTGTTGTCTGTGCTACCCAGTCAAGCCTAGGCATGGGAGTCACATGAAGCTCAGGTCTGAACATGAATCCAGTACTAACTCTGTCTCTGTTCCTGGCCGCCAGTGGGTCTCTTTCATCTTAGAAAAATTGATGATGGAACTATTTCAAGACCTACTGCAATGCTGTAAATTCCCTAAGTTTGAATGTTGGAATGCTCAAGAAAACCATCCCTTGCAAGCAAACCTAGGACAGCCCAACTTTCCACCATCCAGCTTCTTACTCTTGGGGGCCCACCTCGCTGCCTGGTATTCTACCACAAACCAGGCTCTCAGAGAACCACTCTTTCTGTACTTCAGTCTCTTGCAGCATATCTTATCAGCTATGGAGGGTGTTTTTGTCAACAATAGAATCAGGTTGCCTAATGGCCCATTTCTGGGTCTGCTGTTGAAATGTTGGATTTTCATCTTGACATGTTTATAAAATTCTCTTGACTGCATGCAAGCACAATGTTATCTCTCATTCCTCTTTGTTCCTTTCTTTTTTGCTTGTTTTCGTGATACATATTATCAAGGATCTGTTTCTCATATGCCAAATTACTTTCCTTTTATCACCAAAAATAGATGAGGCTGTAATAACTATTATTTTGTCTGGCCAGAACCCATTGCCTCCTTCTTTTAGAAGCAGTTCCCACCCATTTTGGCCACAAATATGGTGTCTTTTCCAGGCTAGGTTAATGATGGTACCTCACCCTCTGGCAACAGTGTTAGGAGGTAGGCATATGAAACAAGATGGACCAACTAGTATCCTTTCTTTGGACTTTCAGCTGAAGCTGGGAGACAGAAGCTCCCTTTCTTTCTCTGTAATGATATACATTCAGTGTGAGGCTGAGTCCCCCACCAGTAAAACTGATCAAGAGTGAATGAAGCAGATATTCCAGACAGAGAGAGAGCATGTTCTGAAAGTGGGTGAGAGACTTACTGCAGTAACCCTTAAGGCCAGTTTCATCATGCCCTGTCATAAGTCAGTATATCCCTCCTGGGCTTAAGCTAGTTGGAGATTGGTTTCTAGCCCTCGCATCAAACCATCTAAAACAAAAGGTGACCTTCTCTTGGATATCAAACTTCCTGAAGGGATACTCATCCACAAAGAAAGACTAATAATAATTTTATCAATGATAATGAAGGCTTTAAATTAGCTCTAAAATTTTATTTTGAAACAATATATTTCACGGTGCCTGTTATTAGAATTAAAACACAATAGCATTCCTGTCTGCCTTAGGACACTGGGGGCTTAAAATATTTTTGGTCAATTAATCAACTGTCAAGGCATCTTCTGAATCCATCTTTCAAGTACCATCTGACTTTGAAACTAAATAAGAATCTCTCAAAACTTGACATTCATTCATATTTGTTCACTGTTTTTTAAAAATATATGCTACTTAATTAGTTATTTGTTACACAGCTTAGTAGCCTCAGGACTCTCTTAAAAGTGAACAAGCCAGCTGTGTTGAAAGTTTTATAGGAAACACAGGCCTGTTTCCCATCTTCTATTTTGTAAAATTATTTCAACATTTATTTACTGAAAGTTCTATCAATGAAAAAACACTGATGGCTCCACTATGGGTGAAGAGAGGAAGGTGTGTGCTCATGAAATTTAGGAGCTAGTCTGACCCAAGGAGACACAGCCAGTACACACAGCAACTATTCTAATTTAATTTCTCAGGACTATTTTCATTCAGATTGACTATGCCACCAACCCGAAGGGCCAAAACAATCAAAAGACAAGAAACATTCTTCCCACTCAACTTCATCTATTTCAAAAAAGTTCTCCACACAAATACTGAAATCTGATAGAGTGGAATGCAGAAATAGAACATTACTAGTAAAAAACAGGGCTGGGTACTTTGTTTTTATAGCTACATTTTCCAGTTGGCTCAACATTAAGGGAGCTGATTCTGTCTTACTCTTGTAAATATCTGTAGGTTGTGTTCTATACAGGTGAGTACATATGGTGGTAGTTACACACATGTTTTGGGTGTTAGACCACCTGGGCTTTCATCTTGCCTCTGTTAGTAAAAATAGCTTAGGTGGTCATGTGCAAGTTGCTCAATCTTGTTGTTGTTGTTTTTAATTTTCAAAATGGGGATAATAATGACAATCCCATGCATATTCATTTTATAAGGGTTTAATGAAATAATATGTGAAACAATGTGGGTAGATCTCAGAAAATGTTAATGCATTGCTATTATTAGAAGTGGAAGGTCAGGTTGTGAAGTCTGACTGGATAAGAGCTGGTATCCTGCCTTTGTTCTTTGTCTGGTTTCCGGTTATTCAACTGCTAAACAAAGACACTAAAACCCATTTCATGGGGTTGTAGTGATGATATGTCTGACATGGTATGTGGCACAGAGTAAATGATAGCTATTATTATTCTTGTTTTTATTCTGCATTATATAAGTGAGTTTAGTACTAGGCTTAGAGAACTGTATTGAGAAGCTGAATATGAAGAAAAGGGGTCAGGATTCCAGTTAGTGATCCTGGATTTAAAGATCAGTTGGGATCTTACTTTTTTTATTTTTTTGGTCGAGAGAGAGAGAGAGAGAGAGCAAGGAAGGGGTAGAGAGAGAGGGAGAGAGAATCCTAAGCAGGCTCCAAACTCAGCACAGAGCCTGATGCAGGCTTGATCCCATGCCCCTGGGATCATGACCTGAGCCAAAATGAAGAGTCACATTCTCTCAGCCAACTGAGCCACTCAGGCGTCTGAATCATATTTGATCTATGTATTGGGCCCAGGTATCTTAGAAGAAGTCTATCCCTATACCACAGGATATAGTGAGTTACTTGGTTGTTTAGTACTGAATAGGGACTCTGCAATGTTGAGGGGCTTTCAGAATAGTCACATCTGGGTATATTTTGTTAAATTTTTCACCTAGCAGGCTGTCTAGCTCACTAATAAATTCTATAGGCATATTTTACCTACCTTCTGGATCAGAGACTCAATTACTTAACTAATTATCTTAAAAGCCCCATGAAAGAGTACAAAAGCCACCAAATATACTCATTTTCTACTTATTTTTGACTTGTAAGTGGAATCATTCATAAGCCGGAAGGCAGAGAAAATGCAGTCCATCTTGCTTGCTCGCTCCATAGTAAGGTTTCATTCTAGACAAAATTGGGGGTAATTATGCCATTATTAAAATGACAGACATGGATTTTAAAATACGCTTGCTGGTTTAGTGTGACTTTAGCTATCTCAAGTATTTAAATGCCATCCAACCTTTTTAAAGTGATCGATCTGGTTTGTTTGAGACTTCAGATCTTATTTAATAAAACAAAACAAGGCAATGATCAATTAGAAAAAACAAGCAATCAGATTACGTAATCGTCTGCCGTGGTGCTTCTCAACAGAGGACAATTGTGTCCCCAGGGGACATATGGCAATGTCTGGAGATATTTTGTTGTCATAAGTGTGTGTGTGTGTGTGTGTGTGTGTGTGTGTGTGTGCGCACACGCCTACACTACTGGCATTAGTGGTAGAAGCCAGGGATGCTGCTACATATTGTGTCATGGACAGCATGGCCCCCACAACAAAGAATGATCTAGCCTGAAATACCAGTGCTATCATGGTTGAGAAAACTTGGCCTAATTGTGCGGCTATTATAACTCTTCACTGTCATTGGGTCCATTTGAGTATACATTTGAGAATCTCATGGAAGCTTGTCTTCCCTGTCCAGAAAATTCATATACCCACACACATATTTGTTATATGTAAATTGGGTGGAGGGTCCACCGATCCTTCTCTTAAATCTCTCCCAATGAGTCTAAGTTGAGACTCTCTGCTTTTAGACATAGGAATCATCACCACAGTCTCAAATTCATTACTAAAAGTACAGAGAAGATTATACAACAGGTTGTGCAACAGAGTAAGATACATGTTTTTTTTCCGCCTAGTCAAACATCCCAATTGAACTGGGATTCAGTTTTGGGTACATAATTCAAGCTTGTTGAATTCAAGTTCTTCCTCTCTAGAATGTGCTTGGTGATATTTCCCCTAAGCAATACTGATGTTATAAATCTCAAGCTTTTGTGTAAAAGGGTTAGGAATAGAGCAGAATAACTGTGCTCACCAATATCTCATCGCTGCTCCCCCTTTTTGTTTGTTAAAAAACAACAACGTTTTTTATTGTGCTTTAACAAACATAAGGCACACATAAACATAACAGATGCAATATATCAACTACCTGCTAAGAGCCAAACCCTTTCAGCTATTTAGCATGTGTTATTTCTAATCATCATAAAAGCCTTGCAAGATATAACCTTGCATTTATTATAATTACTTTAAATGAGCAATCTGGGTCTTAAGGAGGTTAAATACATTTCTCAAGGTCTCATAACTCCTACCTTTTGGATTCAAATTTTCCTTCTCTCTACATGTGTTTCCCAGTGCTTCTGGAGGAAGAGTCTTGGTTATTTAAGATTCGTTTCAGTAGAGTGACACATGTACCCACACACTAATAATAATGATAAATACGGATTTACCGGCTGAAAGGTCAGAGCGATAGTGTATATAGTGGAATTTGAGGGAGGGTGATAAAGGACACCTATTGACCACTTGTTAATTTTTGACAGCTCACAAGTGGAAGTAGAGTGGAGGTTATTAGCACTGAGGTTTTCCAGGAAGAGGCGATTACGAGGGTAGGATGGAGGGATTTGGCTTTCCCACATATGCCCTGTGAAGGTGAAGTAAGGGTCACACTTTGAAAAGTGGGGTAACTGATAAGAAGCCCCCAGGTTCTGGGCAGCGGGCTCTGATTTTTCTTCTAATGAGTCTGGTACAGGAGTTGATTTATTTGTACACCTCTAGGTGCTGTCCTCCTAGGGCTGAGCCTCTACGGAGAGAGGCTGGGAACCAGATCGGTCAAGGACCAAATCTACAGCCATCCGTGGGAAAGCATATTAGTTTGCCACTTGGGATTCTTTTTTATTTATTTAAGTTTTTAAAAAATGTTTATTTATTTTCAAGAAAGAGAGAGTACAAGCTGCGGGAGAGGCAGAAGGAGAGGGAGACACAGAATCCGAAGCAGGATCCAGGCTCTGAGCTGTCAGCACAGAGCCTGACGTGGGGCTCAAACTCATAAAACCATGAGATCATGACCTGAGCCAAAGTCAGACGCTTAACTGATTGAGCCACCCAGGCACCCCTTGGGATTCTTTTTTAAAAAATGAGTAGGTGTGTCATTCTGGAACCCAGTTTTTAACTCTCCATTTTCCAGTATTGTAACAATATACTTGATATATGGATAGAACTTAACATCCAAATAAAATGCAACCTAACTCAACTAAAATAGACTGTATGTCCTTCCCTTTGTGTAGGGAAAGACATTTTTCAAAGACTTTATTAAGAAGAAAGAAGAAATGTTAAAATCTAAAAATCTTTTAAAGATTTAGAGTTGGAGACCCACTCTTCCTCCAAGATGCGGCTAAAATGTAACCTCCACATGAAGCTGTCTACGTTGTCTTTTCTATGCCTCTTTATACTTTATACACATCTCGCTGACAGTATTTGCACACTGTACGGTAGTTACGTCTCTCTCATCTTCAATCTCATGGAACGAGTATCTTTAAATACGCAACTCCTTCTCCAGTGCTTAGCACAAACGAGGTGATCTGTGTATGTTTTTCAGTAAGTAAACGGATGAGGGATGGTTAATTTTCCAGTGATGTATATAGATGTAGTCCAAATCCCAAACACTCAAAAGGCATTAAAAACCAAAACACCCCCAGGGCCATCTCAGACCATCACAGCAGGCCCAAATGAATGATTTTCCTCTTCCTATTTATTACTGCCGTTCCTCCTCTGCAAATTTATAACATAGAATCAGAGAACCCTGCTTACCATTTTTCCAATCATCATTACATATGGGCCCAAATACTTGTTCACGCCGAAGATGTCTAAGAGACGGATGTACCAATAAATGATGTTCACACAATAGATGACCCTCCCATCACTCCTGAAGGGCTGGTCTTGGAGACGAAGGATCATTCCCACAGAGAACAAAAGGATGGCAATTAGGTCTGTGACATTCCAGTACTCCTGAAGCCACACCTTCACTTTCTGTAGTAACTTCCCTGGCTCCGACATCAGGATCTAAAAGGCAGGAAAGGAGGGCAGGGTTAGGTCTGATGTCAGGCTATATTTTCCGTCAGGTTGGAAAATGCTGGGTCTGTTAGGTGACCTCAGTAGCTTCTTTTGTTTACCTATGTCTCCTTGAAGATTTGCATGCTATGAATATACTACTGAGCTAAGCTCAGGCAAAGCAGATACAAGCATTCCAGGGGCAAATAGAAGCAAGAAGTTTGATCCTTTGGGTTGCCTTACAATCCTAAGATATCCATTAGGGTTTGCTATAAAATGACAGATTCCTACTACACTGTAAATCTCTGAAATCCTGCTCCATCTCAGTGGAGTGTCACCATATAGAGTTACTCAGACCACCAGGGAGGGCTCCTTCATTCTTCTCCTTACATCCATATAACCTGCATCAATATCACCTCTATTTCTAAATATAATCTTATGCAAGCAACCACTATTCACCACCACCCACTGTTGCCATTGTATTGTAAGTCCTATCACATCACCTAGATGATCCCAACAGCCTTCTAACTGGCATTCTTCCCACCATTGTCGTCTGCTCTCCCTCAATCCATTCTCTAAGTAGCATGCAGAATGGTCTTTAAAAACTGAAGCCATGATCTGGGTGGTGATTACACACAGTTGTGTGGATAAACAGAAACTCATCAAGCTGGACCCTATGAGTTCATTTTCTTACAAGTAAATTACACCACAATCTAAAAAAGACAGCAATCTGAGAGATGTGTGAACAACAAAAACTAAAGCAAATTGTGATAAGTGAATGTTTAAATCTCCTGATGGCTCCCAGTACACAGAAAGATCCAAACTCCTTACAGTGGCTTCATTTTACATCCCACCACATTGTCCCAATTTCACAACTACAGACATAGCAGTCCATTATATGCTCGGGACATCTGCACTGTTCTTTTCTGTTGGGCATTTTCTTCTCCCAGATTGTTACGTGTTGCTCCTCCTCATCCTCAAGGTCTCTGCTCTAATTTCCCTTTCTTAGGAAGACCTTCTTTGACAATCCTACCTATAGGGGGCTCCCATCCCTGTCACTTGCTAAAATATTATCCTATCTTGTGTTTTGAAGATTTTATCACTATATGAAGTTAACTTCTGTTGCATGTAGATATATTCTGTTTGCCTAACTATCTATTATCTCCCCTAGACTGTAAATTCTGAGGCATAGCTTTTTTCCCCCCAGAGCCTGTTACATAATAGATTCTCAATTAAATATTTGTTGACTGACTGCTACATATCCTTAGCTGCTGGGGAGGGCTCTGACTTACCTCAAATCTAGAGGGACCTTCTTGCTGCCACACAGAGGCTCTGCGAACGGCACAGTTGGATAGTGGGTCCCAGTGGTCCAACACTACAGCTTGTCCCCGGATGTGAGGGGCCAGGGAGGCTGGCCTAGTGAGGCTGCAGAGCTGGGCTACCTTCATGAATCCTTTGAGTTTGCCCTGAGACTACCATCTCGCCCAGCCACCACCCACCGCTTTTTCAACTCGGAATCTCCTCTCAAAGGAGAGGAAAGCAAAGACAGGGGACAGGCCTAATCTGCAGCTATTTCTTTGAATCCTTTCGTCCCCTTTAATGGCTTACCGTGACCTGAAATATTTAAGGAGGGAGGTCTTTTTTTTTTTTTTTTTTTTTACAAATAGTTTATTGTCAAATTAGTTTCCACATAACACTCAGGGCTCATCCCCACAAGTGCCCTCCTCCATGCCCATCCCCCCCTCCCCCCCCACATCCATCAGTCCTCAGTTTTTGTCAGCATTCAAGAGTCTCTCAAGGAGGTCTTAGTACGTCAGGCCAAGGGCTGGGAATGCTCAGGGAGATGCCAGAGCCAGCCGGTGGCCTCATTCTTCCTCCTTCGCAGCGCTGCATTGCTAAACGGTAGGCCAGGGCTTCTGAAACTTGAGCAAGCCTCAGAATCACCTGGAGGGTTGGCGAAAACACTGATGGCTGCCCCCTAGGCCTGGAGCCTCTGCCTCACTAATGGCCGGCGTGGGGCTCAAGAGTTTCCGTTTCTAACCGGTTCCCCGGGCAAGCTGGGGTCCACAGGTTGCGAGAACCACTGTGCTCCCCACCAGGGATTCCCGAGCCTGCCGTCGCCCTGGTGGTTTCTCACACGGCTCCGTGGCTCCATCTTTACTAGGTATAACTCCCTGTGTGCGAGCAGGGGCGATGGGAAGTGCCTGGGAGTTTTTCTAACCCGGCGTCTGCACTTTCCTACAACTGGTCAACAACAGAGGTTGACAGCAGCAGTTTTTAAACTGTGGAAATAGTTCTGTGAAATCTCAACATAAAAAAGGGATCAAGGCTGAGACGCCGCGGTGAAGCAGGAACGCAGGTACCCCGACCCTAAAGCTTCTTCTCCCGGTTCTGGGCCAGCCGGAACCGCCAGCTCGGAGGGGGCGTGGCCGCGGGGGGGCGTGGCCTCGCGCCGCGGCCCGGCCTCGCCCCCGCGGGGTTGCTGGGAGGGGGGTCCGGGCGGGAGAACGTCCGCCCACGCGCGTTGTAAACAGTTCCGGGCGCTCGAGGGATCCCCGCGGCTTGTTTTGGTGACGGCGCGCGGAAGTATGTGGTGCTGGGAATGGGAGGGCCGCTTGTGAAACCACAAAGCCCTGCTTGTATATCCCTGAAGGCCGGGAAGCCTACGGACTTTTCCACGTGTCCAGGATTTTGCGTGGCTGCGCCCCGGGGGCCAACGCGGAGGCGGCACCCGCGGGGTCCGCGGCCCCTGCGCTGTTCAGCCGCTTCAGTGGGCCGGGACGCGGGGCGGGGAGGCGGCCGCGCCAGGCTGGCGAGGGTGGGAGCCAGTACTCCTGGGATGACCCCCTGCTGACCCCCTGCTGACCCGAGCCTGCAGAGCCCGGGCCACAGTCCATGCCGCCTCAGGAGAAATGGATATCCAGGCCGGGAGGTTCCTGGCAGCCCGCCTGCTTGGCAGCCTCTTCCAGAACAGTCCGCGGAGTACAGGCTGCTCCCTGTCTTCTTCCAGTCTCGTCCCTGGAGAGATTCCAGTCTCCCCGCCTGAGCCTTTCCCTTTTCTGCTTATCATGGGGAAGGAATATGCATCTGGGCGTTAAGTCACGGGAGGGGAGCTGGCACTGAGCAGCTCCGGAGCCCGTAGCGGTAGCGGGTGTCAGAGCGCTACACAAAGGCCACCGCAAATTTATTAGTTTTTCAGTTTACCAGTGGGAAATCCACAGCCGTGCTCAGGAAGTAGGAGGCATTGTGAACGGGGAGGCCAAACAGTTGACGACTAGTTAGAACAAGGCCAGGCAGGGCATCCATTATTAAAAAAAAAAAAAAAAAAAAAAATCCAGCCTTTTATAAAATGGGACTAGCGCACACCTCCAAACCCTCAGCATGGGGGCATGCTGATTTTAATTTAAGTGTCCCTGAAGCAGTTTAAAACCCAAAAGAAGGGCTCTGAGTATATTTTAAGAGACTTTTAAAAATGTCATCCCCAAATGACGGCATCTAAAAGATGCTGCATCCTTTTCTCCGAAAGAGAACAATGTAGAACTAAAACCTACAATACGAAGGGTATTTTAACCTGACAGTAATGAAGGCAGGGGGGAATTTGTGGATTTGTAGGAATCCATTTTTGTATGGATCCCAATATATTTTCCCACTTACTATAGCAGAGTGAGACGGATTGTTGGAGAGCTCCTGAAAGTGCAGTGGACTTGACGGCGAGTAATTCTTCCAGAAAAGATTTGTCTTGCTGACCGTAGTTCAGGGGGAAATGCAGAAGAATCATCACACCAGCCTGCCTTCCCTACAGCCTAGGGACTGCGTTTGCGGAGCGCATAGAGCAGAGTTGCAGAGCCCTCTGGTGGACGTTTGCTTGACCACGTTCATTTTAGCTGCTCCAAATCTGAAGGCTCCCATGCTGGCTTTGAACTTCAAGCAAGTCATATGGGGGTGGGGTTATGATGGCTCCTATGGGGATGTGGGGAGTAGAGAGGGGCCCACACCCTCAACCTGAAGGACAACAAATATGTTCAGTCCACCTCAGGGATGCCTAGGGCTGGTGGAGAGGCTGGTGCATAATAAACGGTGGGAAGGAATAAACCGGAGGATAAATTAATGAATAGAAGTATAGTTCCTTCTACAGCTGCTGAAATGCATCTGGAGAACCATAGGTATTGGATGACAGTATCCAAAGAGACCCAGAGTGAAGGGTTTCAATGGGAGTTAAAAGCAGAAAAGTGGGAAAATTTGAAAACTCATGTTTATAGGGGACGAGGAAAGAGACGTGTAAACAATGTCAAGGACAACTGGAGAGTTTCTTGGGCGAGAGATCTGTCGGCAAAAGCTAGAGCAAACTCTAGGCAGGCATGAAGGGGCAACCCTAAAAAACACACTATGACGCCTCCCCAGGTTTGCACGTGGCCCTCGAGACCAAGTCCGTTATTTCTGTGCAGCATAGAGAAAAAACCGTTTCTGGCTTCATTTGGATCCCTAGCCCCCCCTTCCTTCCACTCACAAAGGTAACCCGCCACTGTCTTTCCTGTGTTCTCCTTTGTGAAAGCAGTTACCTCTCTCATCTTTTCTATTCCCAGGGTGAATATATAGGAAATGACGATCCATTCCTGCGTGGAAGGCCAGCGCTCCATCTTCACTAACACGATATAGTTGAAGAGCATCAAATATCCGATGTACGCCAGCTGTAAGGAAACACAATACAGAGCTCTGGCTACAGAGACCCGGGAGCCCTGCCCTTGGGCAAGGCCACTTCATGGTAGCACAGAGCCAAGGTCAGCAAGCAGGACTCAGAATTCACAGCAGAATGAACTTCCAGGCTTTAGACTATTCAAAGAATTAAAAAAAAAAAGAGAGAGACCGTAATATTTGAAATAATGTGTTATTCTATCTTCCTTTTGATCCTTATATCTGTCCTTGGGTCCAATACTTTGCCTTTACTTCTGTGTCATGATGCAGCTTTTTTGTTTTGCAATTACCTAGTTTCTTGTGTCTTTATGGCTAAAAAGGGAACCTCTTCTGTCAGGGCTATTCTTGCTCATGCATGAGCCTGAGGTTCTTTTTTTTCTTTTTTTTTTTAAGCTTACTTATTTATTTTGGGGGAGAGATAGAAAATGAGCAGGGGCTGGGCAGAGACAGGAGAGAGAATCCCAAATAAGCTCCATGCTCAGCACAGAGCCCAATGTGGGGCTCAATCCCACGACTGCAAAATCACAACCTGAGCTGAAATCAAGTGTCAGACACTCAACCGACTGAGCCACCCAGGCACCCCCAGCCTCAAGTTCAAGTGCCTCTTGAACTAGGGCACACGGTGGATTTGTGCCTGATGAATGCCAGGTGGATGAAATGTCTGTAGGAAGCACAGGAAGGCGCATTTGTACACTGGTCAAACCAACATTAAAAAAGCCTGGACCTTATCTCAAAGTCCCACTTGAATTGTTTTCCGAGTTAACGTCTTCTTTTTATCTCTTTCTACCTTAATGTGCTTGGCTTGGCAGTGCCCTGGGAGGATTTTATTCCATTTTCCATTGCAACACCTTCCCACCCTATCCAAGTTGGGATATTCCTCCCTGGTTTCTGCTTCTTTGAAAGAAGACAAGAGAAGATAAAGCAATTTATACAAGGCAATGGGTCTGCGGAGCTTGGAGTGGGGTATAATCTTCATGGGGCTCTGGCACCAGAGGCTGAATCCTGAGAGCACTGGCTGGAGGTGCTGGGTGTCCGGTGAAAACCCCTTGGGGCTCGGGTTTAGTGACTGCCACTGGAGGACCCGGTTGTGCCCAGAGGAGTGTGTGGAGTTCTTGTGGGGGGAGTGGGGGGGTGTGGAACCTCTGGAGAAGAACTCCCCCTTGGGGAAATGGCATATAAGCCCAGCCTTCTCCAGGCAACGCTTGAAGCAGAGTAAGGCGCCCGCTGGTGTGGGAGCCCCAGGGCTGTGAGCAGGAGCTCAGAGTGGGTTGGTTCCTGTCTACACTCTTCAGAGCCCACAGAGCAAAGAACAGGACACAGTGTGGGCAGAAGGGCAGAGGCCTTAGAGACCCGTGTGTCCCTGGAGCCCTGCAGGCACCTTAGCAGGGGGCGGAAAGGTACAGCCTGGCTTCGAGATGGAAAAGGGCACAGGAGCCCCACCGAGCTCGAGAAATGTTGCTTTCTCTGCTAATGGGGCCGCTCACTGTCTTTCTTCCTTTCTTTCCTTTTTCTAAATAAAATGAATACATAGATTCTGAATAGACCCAAAGGTATTTTTAAAGACCCTATGACGTTGATGCCTTTACAGACACAACCGTATAATTTCTCGGCTCTTGCACAGTGAACATATATCAGGGTTCAGTGAGATCAGGTGCGGGAGCATGAGGGCAGCCAGGGAGGAGCTGGAGGGCCTGGGGGGGGTCCTTCTCCACCTGACACCTGAGGGATGTGCTCTTGTACACCCACCCCCTCAGGGACTATCACTTTAAAACAATTTTTAATTTTTTTTTTTTTTTTTTTTTTTTTGAGGGCTAGGGAGACAGAATCTGAAACAGGCTCCAGGCTGTCAGCACAGAGCCTGACGTGGGGCTCGAACCCACGAACCATGAGATCATGACCTGAGCTGAAGTCGGACCCTTAACTGACCGAGCCACCCAGGTGTCCCCCAGGGACTGTCACTTTAATCCCCGCCTCAGCCCCCGCTTCTCCCCTCGGGGTTGCTAGCACACTGTGGAAACCTCACCTGATGGGTCTGCTCTACTTGAAATCACATGGGATGCTGTTTAACATGTAATTTGGTTCATACGGTTCCTGTTTACCATTATACACGGGCATCCACCCTCAGGTCCCTGTGAGCTACCATATTTCACAAGACACAGCGACACTCCAAAACATATTCTCAGCCTCCTTCTGGCCTGAAATCCTTCTTTCTGGTTGCTTCCTTTTGTTTGTTGGATCATATTTCATTGCTTCCAGTCAGTCTCTCTGACTGCTCTGGATTTTATTATTTTACCCAATTCATTGTGACACATTCCAAAGAACTCTCTTCTCTTGTCACACGTAGGCCCAGGGACACCCACGCAGTTCTTCCAGAACCTCTCCATTTTAGTATTTAAGCATCTCTTCCAACCTGCCTCTGTCATCCGAACACAGGGCTAGCGTGTTTGTTTGGCAGAAGGAATGCAGACGCAGTCAGTGAAACTTGGATTTAAATCCCAGCTTGAGTATTTCCAAGTTGTATCATTTTGTGTAAATCGCTGCACCTGCCTGGGCCTCCCTCCTGTGAAATGGAGATGATGGCTACTGACCTTACAGAGCTTTTGGGAGGGCTGGGGAGGGGGGGGGGTTGGGGTAGGGGGAGAGTATGTCTCTCTCTCCCTTTTATTTATTTATTTTTTTATTTAAAAAACATTTTAAACATTTATTTATTTTTGAGAGACAGTGTGAGACAGAGTGCAAGTGGTGGAGAGGCAGAGAGAGGGAGACACAGAATCTGAAACAGGCTCCAGGCTCTGAGCTGTCAGCACAGAGACCAACGCGGGGCTCGAACCCACAAACCGTGAGATCATGACCTGAGCTGAAGCTGGACACTCAAACCGACTGAGTCACCCAAGTGCCCCATCCCCTTTTAAAAAAATGTTTTTTTTTTTTTTTAATTTTTGAGAGAGAGAGGTGGGGGAGGGGCAGAGAGAGAGGGAGAGAGAGTATCTGAAGTGGCCTTTGCACTGACAGCAGAGAGCCAGATGCATGACTTGAACTCATGAACTGTGAGTTCATGACCTGAGCCGGAGTTAGATGCTTAACCGAGTCACACAGGCGCCCCTGTATCTAGTTCCCAATAGTATAGAGGCCCAATGAATGGTGGCTAATGTTATTATTTGCTTCTTTTTTCAAGAAACTTCCATTCCTTGTCTCCTCTTACCTCAGTCTTTGTTTCCTTTTGATCCAGTTAACTAGCCATACCTCTCCCTTTTTAAGTTGCCTTTCTTATTATTTATGCTTCTTCCATGATCAGCCTGTTATTTATTATTATTATTATTTTTTTTTTGAGAGTGAGGGAATGCGGGAGGGACAGGGGGAGAGAAAGAGAGAGAATCTTAAGCAGGCTCCAGGCCCAACACAGAGCCCAACACAGGGCTTAATCTCACAACCCTGGGATCATGACCTGAGCCAAAACCATGAGTTGGCATTCAGCCCATTGAGCCACTCAGATGCCCCTCAGCCTACTCTTTAAATCCAGTTGCTCTATAACGCTTTTCTTTCCATGTTCAAGCTATAATATAACATTTTGGGACAACTCTCAAAATACAGACTTCCCAAAATATGGCTTTAAACATGTTTAAATGGCACAACAGAGGACTGGAGGCAAAGAAGCAACCTATCTTAGAGCTCACCAGCATTCAGCGGGTCTTACTGCAGACTACCTTAACATGGCATGCTTGAATGGTGTGCGTGTGTGTGTGTGTGTGTCTACACACATATATTCTGTAGGCTTTAACAAGTTGAGTGTGGAATGTCAAAGCTTTGAACAGAAACATAACCTCATGATCCCCACTTAAGTCAGCAAGCATCCTATAAGGATTTGTATTGTGTTTGCTTATATATTCTTTTTATACATTTCCTATTAACCAAGATGCTCAAGTCCCAAACTATGCAAGCACCAGAGCCTGCTTCAGGTTGCGTGGACCTCTGGTGGGCTTTCTCCTGCTGCCCCTGGAGAGGGGAGGGGGCACAGTGATGCTCAAACAGAGGAAAGAGTCTGTCAGTGCTGGAGAAGTCCAGAGCACATCCCTTGCCCTCTGACTTGGTTCCTCTTTTATAAGAGGCGTCTTGCAGTGGCATCCTCCCTAGCTGGGCACTTGAAATGGCTTTCATGACGTACCAGGTCTGTGAGCCAGCTGGGTCCCTGCCTCCTTTCTTCTTGGAACAGAGGAGGACCCAACCTGGTCTTCTGGAAACTTGCTAAGATGTGGAAGTGAGCTGACGTGGAAATGAAGTGTGTCCCATCTTTCAGAAACTTGGGAGTGTATGCAGAAGGAGATATTTTTGGCAATCAGGGTGGGAAATACTCTTACAGGAAGGAACACAACCGAAAGCAAATGGGACCTTTGATCTAAAGCTGAATTTTACAGTTAAGCATCTCTGGGGAGGGGATTTAAAAATCTGGCACTCCCCATCTCCATGCGCTTCCTTGAGGTCTGGGCTTTGTAAATAAATAGATAAGGATTCCTGAAAGTCATGTGAACAGTAACAACATGACGGGGCATCCGGTCCAATGGGTCTGCTGAGTCTACAATCAGCCGTGCAGGAGGGAGCTGGACCCACAGGCTCCACTTCTCAGAAGCAGCTTCCCCACCTGCATATGATACAGAGGGCGGCCCAGGCTTCCTGGACCACAAGACTCCCTTGAGGAGCTTGTGAAACATACAGCCTCTTCAGCAACAACTTGGAGATTCGATTTAGTGGGTCTGTGATGGGGCCATGGTTTGCATTTCTATCAAAATTCTTTATCATCATAGAAGTTTGGAAAAAATACTGGGCTAAAATCTCAGCCTTCTATCTGGGGCAGTGTTTATTAAAAAAGAGAGAGATGTCTTAGAAAGATTAGACAAATGAGTCTTGTATTTATAAAGGTGATAGATAATTCTTGATACTATTACTTCTGTTGGTTCTTTTATGCTCTAGATCAGGAGTTAGCAAACTTCTTCTGTAAAGGACCACAGAGTTAATTTTTAAGGCTTTCCGGGCCTGACAGTCTTTCTATAGCAAGGAATTGACTCAACAGCTGTTAGGCATGAAAGCAGCCAGAATATAGGTAAACAAATGAGTTTGGTTGTGTTCCAATAAAACTTTATTTATGGACACTGAAGTGTGAGTTTCATATAATTTTCATGTATCATAAAGTATTCTTCCTTTATTTCAGTTTTAAAAATGTACACACCATTCTTAGCTCACAGTCCACAATAATAGGCCTGGATTTGGGACTGGATTTGACCTGTGGGAATATAGTTTGCCAAGCCCTTTTCTAGGCTGGGACAATTGAGGCAGCCTGGCATAAGAGGAAGGACAGAAATGGGTATAAAATGTAGTAAAAGTATCTTTTTCTTGGTAACATTATTTTCTTGACAAAACTGTTAGATTAGGGAATATATGTAAAGAATTTATGGGGCGCCTGGGTGGCTTAGTCGGTTAAGCGTCCAACTTCGGCTTAGGTCATGATCTCGCGGTTCGTGGATTCGAGCCGCGTGTCGGGCTCTGTGCTGACAGCCAGCTCAGAGCCTGGAGCTTGTTTCAGATTCTGTGTCTCCCTCTCTCTCTGACCCTCCCCTGCTCATGCTCGCGCGCTCTCTCTCTCTCAGAAATAAATAAAACATTTAAAAAATTAAAAAAAAGAATTTATAAGAGTGCCTCACAGTAGGTGTTCAAAAAATGATATTATCATTATTGATTGGATGGGTGAATAAAAACACGGACTATTGCCATGCAATGTGACTAGCCTAGGAATTAAAACAGTTACATTTATATTGTGCTTACACATTCCAAGCACTGTTCTCAGTGCTTTACATATTTTAACACATTTAATCTTTACAAAACCCTACACAGTAGGTACTATTATTATCCCTATCTGAAGGAATCTTGCACTAAGTGCTAAAATAACTTGTTTGAGGTCACACAATAATACTCAGGGGTCCAGAAAGGATCTCTACTCAGCCTGTCTTACCCCAAAGTCCATGCTTGTCATCACCAAGTTCTTTACTGCAAGGTAAAGTTTATATCTGCCTAAAATATATAAATGGAAATTATTGTTGCGTGTCCTAATTTTTTCAGGGGAGAATTATTTGCTATTTTTAAAAATTTTTTATTATTATTTTTAAAATATTTTTTATTTATTTCTAGGAGAGAGAGAGAGACAACGTGAGCAGGGGAGGGTCAGAGAGAGAGGGAGATACAGACTCTGAAACTGGCTTCAGGCTCTGAGCTGGCTATCAGCACAGAGCCCGACGTGGGGCTCAAACCCACGAACTGCGAGATCATGACCTAAGCGAAAGTCGGACGCTTAACCGACTAAGCCACCCAGTCGCCCCAAATTATTTGCTATTTTTAATATTCAGAAGCCTGGATTTTTACTTCACTAAAAAAAATCAAATATTTGTATTTTGACTCTCTCCTCTTTTAAGAACATACTTTAAAATAGTAGTTTTCAGGGGCGCCTGGGGGGCTCAGTCAGTTGGGCAACCCACTTCGGCTCAGGTCATGATCTCACGGTTTGTGGGCTCGAGCCCCGCATCGGGCTCTGTGCTGACAGCTTGGAGCCTGGAGCCTGTTTTGGATTCTGTGTCTCCCTCTCTCTCTGCTCCTCCTGATTGTGCTCTCTCTGTCTCTCTCAAAGATAAATAAACGTGACAAAAATTAAAAAAACAAAACAAAACAACCAGTAGTTTTCAGCTAGCAATGGAAGCCCATAAAGGGACATGTGGCGATGTCCAGAGACATTGTGCTTGTCACACTTGGGGGCTGGGGAGTGCTACTGGCGTCTAGTGGACTGAGGCCAGGGGTGCGGCTGGACATGCTACAGTACACAGGACAGTGCTTCTCAGCAAAGAATTCTTCTGTGCCCCATGTCCACAGTGCTGAGGCTGAGAAAGCCTCACTGAAAGCCAGCGGTAAGTGTCAGCATACAGGGCCACACACACGCACAAAACACCTTATCTGGTCATTTGAGTCATCTTGGCCTCAGACTAGGATTTTCCTTTGCTGACTCAAGTGCCTGGTGTGTAGCTGGTTGTGAGAAAGGCCAAAAATACGGACACCTGTCCCTCATCTGGCACAGGGCCGCTGCGACTGGAGAGAATGAGAGATGACCTGGGTGCAGCTCACCTTCAGCTTAAAATATCATGAAAAACAGAAGTAGAAAACCAACAGCCCAGCCATTTGTATCATCTCAAGAGGTTATTTCAGGGACTAGCTTTCGTCTTGTGGGCACAAAATATTTGCAGGGTGTGCACGAAACAATCTTCACCGTGATTATAGTTACTTTGAGTAATTTTACTGCTTTGGTTGGCATGTTGTTTCATCGTTCTGAACAAGAAAGGCTGTTTGATGACACTAGCAGATTGGGAGTAGTTACACACGTAGGCTACCCACCTTTAGTGGTGTTACTTTGAACACTCTGCTCAGCCCTTACCCTTCAAATGTTCCCCACACCCAGGATGGGTGTCTAAAATGGGCAACTCTGAACCAGCATGCATCCATCCAGAACACAGAAGTGTTTTATAAAATGACATCTATTTTCCTGCTAGACTAGACTCATACTCATCCCACCTCTATTTCTGTGAGTTCTCACTTTTCCCATTTCCTTTATTTTCTGCAAGGAGGAGAAATGCAGAAGCTGGAGAAGCCGCCTCACAAACTCCACACATCTTACAGAACTCTTGGGAAAAGCTTTCCTCCCTGCCTGTGTGATCCTTATATTATGACTCATAGAGGAAACCACAAAGGTGCACGTGAAATTGACATTGGCTCTTTGTGGCTACCCATTATGAAGAAGAAAAAGGGAGATGCTTACAGTGTAGAACCAGAACTTCACTATGGGTGCATTGTAGAATTCGTAAATTTTTCTGCCCAGGGGGATTAACCGGTGTCTGCTCTGAACTTCCTCTTCATCCTTCTTTCTGGAAGACTCCCCGTTGTTTCGACCCAACATGGCCTACAGTGGAAGAGAATCAATACCATCATGGCAGGGCTCTGGACAGCATGTAGTTCAATGTGCGTATTTTACAGGTCAGGAATGTATGCTCATAGAACCTAAGAGTTTTGTCCAAGGTCCCCAGAGATTCATAGGTTGTGTCTTCCCTAAGCGTGCCTTTGCATCATACATAGAATCAAAGTTATTTGGCTGGGATGGAAGGCAGCGATGTCTCTTGACCATTCCTTTCTCTTCTACCATGGGAGCTCTGGAAGTTTCCATAATGGAAGATACTCAGGGTTCCGAGAAGGAGAAAGAGTATAACCTCGGAAGACCAGGAATTTATTTTTTCTTTCCACCCCTCTCCCTGTAGTAGTGAGACAGGCAGATCTAGATCTGAATTCTGTCTCCACTCATGCTAATGACTCTTAAGTAAGCGCGCACACACACACACACACACACACACACACACACACACACACACATTAGACCAGTAATATCTAACTTACCCAAAGGTTATGAGTATTCAAGAGGTTAAGTTATCTGAAGTGCTTGGAGCTTAGTTAGGTTAGAAACATCTCCTCAACCCTTAGGCATAAACCTTAGTTCCCTGATCTCAAACTTCATAAAACCTGTGTTAGTTTCATGGAGACCCCTAGGCACCCTGCCTTCCTCTGTGTGGGAGACTCAGCTGGGAGGGACTAGAAGTCAGGCCTCACCTGGAGGGGCCTCATCTCCAAGCTGTTGGAAGCTTCCTTATGAATTGAATTATTTTCTTCTTACTCATGACAACAGCAGCAGCAAAAATGACAATAAAACATCACAAAAAAGGCAGAATTTGAGAAAAGGCAGATGCATGCCTCTCTGGGTAGTAAGTAATGGGATGAGTCAAATATGGCTGAAGATCATACTGGTGAAGAGTTCCAGACTTTGGGTCTTTCAGAAGGAGGACTGAAACTCCTGGATGCTCAGAATCCATGGCACTTTGGGTAAATCTTTTAACTTCTCTGAATCTTCATTTCTTTATCTTTAAATTGGAGGTAATAATAGCACCTGCTTTAGGTTTGGTCTACAAGTCAATAAGCATCTGGCACTTAATAAGTGCTTTGTGTATATTAGCTAGTGTTTAGTTATAGTGAACTGAGAGTTTCTTGAATAGTCTTGATGAAGATAATCTGGTGTGGAATTTCTCATCAGAGAAAAGAAAAACGTTGTTATGGCTCTATTACAGCATTGTCTCTTGGCTTTAATTCTTCTGGTATTATTCTTTTTTAAAAAATGTTTAACATTTATTTTTTAATTTATTAATGAGAAACAGGGAGAGAAAGAGAATGAGCAGGGAAAGGGGGGAGAGAGGGGGAGACACAGAATCTGAACAAGACTCCAGGCTCTGAGCTATCAGCACGGAGCCCAACGGGAGGCTCGAACTCACAAACCGTGAGATCATGATCTGAGCCAAAGTCGGACGGTTAACCGATTGAGCCACCCAGGTGCCCCTCTTTTGGTATTATTCTAAAGACAAGGTTAGTTCTACCTTAGGAAATGAGATTTTTTATTAAATGTGAGAACAGGGAAAATCCTTCTAACTGCTCAGGGACTGACAAGGATTTAGGATAAGAAATAAGGGGTGGGATACGGGTTTAGAGCTGAGAGATCTAACTATAGAAGTCATTTGTTTATCTTGAATTTGAGAGCAGATAATTCTGGTTTCAAACCACCTTACTCAAGATATACAAATATTAGTTTCAACTACTTTTGTTATTGCCTCAACTATCCACCTAACTCAAATATGTAACAATCACATATGGTGAACCTATAACCAATAGGATTTCTGGAGAAGGTAACAAGGTAACTTCCATTCCTTTATAGCCTATGTGGCTAGAAAATTACCTTGACTTAATGAATAGGTAAGATCCCATTCAATGGCCTCCCAGCCTTTATTTTGATCGGTGAGCTGGGTCAGTTTCCATGATGGGTATGCACATTTGACTTCTATCAATAATGACCAATGACCTCAAGAAACTCTGAGGTTACATCCTTCTATAATGTATAATTTATGTAACATAATTGCCCTGCTTCTGTTCTGCTTCTTTATTTGCTCAATAATACAATAATATTTGGGGACATAATAGGATGTGAGTTAAGGCAGCTTGGAGGGTTGTAGGCATTTTGGAGAGTGACATCTTGGGATAACCTCTAGAAATAGTGGCTTCCCCAGCAGAGCTGACTGAGACAATGCCTTGGGTCTGTGGACATGTTGGGGCTTTATTAGGCAGAATGCAAAAACACTCATCTGGCAATGCAGGTAAAACAAAAACAGAAACAACATAGCCTGCTTTGCCTTCAATATTCAGATACATTCCCAAGTGAATGCATTTTTAAAAAGCTTTTCTTTCGTGGGTTTAAGTAAAGCATTTTCAAAATTTCATTAATTCCAGCCTAAGCGGCTTAACTCACTGATTTTCTTGATTTCTCTTCCCAGTAGTCAAACATTTCCTTTGACTACATTCCTTACGCAGAATGTAATGGGGTCAAATACAGGCAACACTACACAATACGGATTTCGGACTTTTCGCTGGCTGGATACAGATGTCAAGCCTGGGAAAGATCCATTGACGTGAACTAGGCCACTTAAAGGCTACTGAGAGTGAAACTGAGGCTCATATTTTGTGTGTAATTTTGGAGCGGCCAGGGGAAAACACACCCATCCAAGAAAGGATAGGTAAGTGTAACACAGAAGTTCTAATATCTTTCCCAGGAAAGGAATGGAGGTGTCAGCAAGCTGCATTCTCCAATCCTCTCCAGGGTGAGCAAACACAAGAGCTCCCGCAAGGACAGAATTTGTCATTAGGGTCAAAAGAGGGTCTACCTTAAAGATATCTGCTGTCCGGCCCTAATTTTACCAGTCCACAAGTCCCTTCTTCCTTTCCTTTTAGCTGTTTCTGCCTGTGAGGATGCAGTCCGGGCAGTACTGCTGGTGTGATGTCTTTCACGTGGGTTCTCAGTACACAACTGTAGGGTCTATTCTCTGGGAAGCAGACTTTGCTCTCAGTCTCAGATGCAACCTTTAGTGTGATTTCTTGAGGGATCAGGTTCTCAAAGCTCTACATGGAGCAGGAGAAGGGAGCTGCCTTCTTTGTTTTCCTCCTTGAGACCCACTCAGAGAGAATGGTGGTTCAGCTCTGGCTGCATTCACAGGGTCCTTGGCCTTGAGGCTTCAAGGCCAAGTCATAAGGGACATAGGATGCCCGTGCATTATTATTTAAAAATAATTTTTTTTAGAGTTTATTTATTTTGAGACAGAGCATGAGTGGGGGAGGGGCAGAGAGAGAGGGAGACACAGAATCTGAAACAGGCTCCAGGCTCTGAGCTGCCAGCACAGAACCTGATGTGGGGCTCGAACCCATAAACCATGAAATCATGACCTGAGCCGAAGTCAGATGTTCAAAAAACTGAGGCACCCAGGCGCCCCACTGTACATTATTTTTGAATTCTTTCTGCTACGAGGTAGACCAAACCAGGTGCATGGCTACATTTGAGACTGAGAAGAAATTCTTTGCATCCCTGAGGCTATAGGCTAAAAGCACAGCCAAGGGGATCTCTGCCTGGTTTCTAATCCTGACCTTGCAACCAATTAGCTGGGTAACCTTGGGTAACTTAACTTCTTTGAGTCTCAGCTTCCTTACCTGTAAAATGGGATAATAACAGTTCCCATCTCATGGGATTTTTGTGAGGACTCCATGAATAAGTGGACATAAAATACCTAGTACCATTATAACAATATTCACAAACATTTAACAAGGTTTACCGTGTGCCAGGCCCCAGTCTACAAAAAATCATGTACACTTTTTAAACTGCAAACTGCCTGTGAGCTAGACAATGGTATTATTCCCATGTTAGAGGTTAAGAAACCGTGTCCAATGTCCCATAGTGAGTAGGTGTAGGGGCAAGATTCTGACTCCAGAGTGAACACTCTTTACCCCTCTCATAAAGATTTGGTATTATTACTGCTAATGTTTCTGCTAATGATTAAAATATCCTTCTCTAACCCTGAAGGATTCAGAGGCCAAAATTATGGTAAGAACTTTAGAGAAGACAGTCATCTGATCCTGTCATAGAGGCAAGCAGACGCCAGTGCTAGTTTTTATAAGAATCCTGAAGTGGAAAACAAACACTGGCTTTTAACTCTGTGAGTCAAAAACTGTGAATAATTAATCAATCAAAAGAATTGTCAGATGCATAGACCCTGTTGTACTCGGAATTGGGACCATTTCCTTTCGGAAGGAAATACTGTTGATCTGGAGGAAAAGCAATTCACAGGGTGGTCCTGGTAGGATAATAATGCAAAGGGACTTTTGTCACCTGCGCAAAACTAATTTTGGTTTTCTCTCCTTACAGGTTTTTTGGGTCATCACAGCCATTGCTCAGGGTGGTGGGGAGGGTGGAAGACATCAGGGAAGTCCTACGGAGCTGTCGCTCGATGTCTCCAAAGCTCCGAGGCCCTGTTTGTCTCTTTAACAGCATGTGACATTTTTAGACTTTGGACACAATCCAGTAATGGTCACACTGCTCAGGCGGGGCTGCGGGAAGCGGTCCCATGCCCAGCTGCCCCTTCCCGCTGCAGAACAAAGCATCCATGTTCTATAATTACACCAGGAGAGCTAATAAAAGCCTTCCATACAAACCTCAAAATTCAATTAGTCTTGCATTTGGGAGCCTGACCCTGAAGACAGATAAAGGTGTAGCATCTGATCACCAGAAAGGCACCAGCCCAGTGCGGCCGGCTGGCTACCCCCACGTCGTACATTCCTTTGCCTTCTTCATATGCTAAGACTGCCCCAGCACCCGCCATTTAAAGCATGGCTGGTTTGGACAACTGAGGGTGCCTGGCTTTTGGGTTTCACTGGGTTGTCCCGTGACCCTGGCTGAAGGATTTTGCACACACACAGTCTCTATAGTTCTGTTATCTGTGCAGAGAGAAGACACTTTTATAATACCCTGGTCTCAATGCTTAAACGAAAGCGCCTGGTCGGAGGGTGACCCCGGGCGTTACTGAGTCTTAAGCTGAACCCACAGGAGAGGGGGGTAGGGTTGCTCCCACGGATAATGATGGTATCGTTTTCCTTACTGTCAGTTCCATGTCCTCTTCATCTTTTTCCTTTGTGGGCTTCTCTGGCTCTTCTGGCTCCTTCTCTTGAAGGTGGATTTCCTGGGCCTGAGACATATATGGCATGTCGTCTTTGTTCTTGAACTCCAAGCTGAGAATTGAAGGAGGAAGTAGAATTCCCAGAATTACCTAAAGTAATAATAATGATAATAATAATAATCACATTCAAAGGATTAAGATTAGGGTGTTTTTTTTTCTCTTAGACTCAGAGGGCCTAAGGTGGTATGTGTGTGTGTGTGTGAGTGCACATGTTTGTTTGCACATGTGTGTGCACCCTTAGTGAGGACTGCACCTGTTAACACTCAGAGGGTCACTCTTGTCCATCTGAGAACTGTTATGCATGGCTGTGCCTAGCACCACATAGTTTTTGGAGAAAAGGAGCGTCTTGCCCAAACATACCCAATTAACACTCACTTCTCATGGGGGAAGCTGAGGAGAGTGAGGGGCCCTGCCCAAGGCAAAAATGGGAAAGAATTCAGACTCTCATTTAGCCATTAGCGCTTGGCTTTGTGAAAGCAATTCAAACATATGTCCACTGGCATTTGTTTGCTAACATGTCAAGTGGAGTTGATTATGCATCATCTGGGTATCTCCATAAAAAATGCCATCCCAAATTGACCTTGAGAAAGTCCATGTGGGAAAGTGTGTTTTCATTTCAGAGTATTCCCCTGGCACTTGCTACTAGACAACAGAAACACGTGCACACACACACACATACTCGTGGGCTTTGTGTTCACCATGAGAATTGCCTGCACAAATACTCCAGGCAGGAAAGCACTGTGTTTCTCTCATGTATAAACTACGCTTCAGAGGCCATGTGATGGTAACAAATACATGGACCCCTCTCACGAGAGGGCAATCTCATTCTCCATTTGTTTTTCAGTTTTTAGATGTTTATTTTTGAGAGAGAGACACACACACACAGTGCGAGTGGGGGAGGGTCAGAGAGAGAGGGAGGCACAGAATCTGAAGCAGGCTCCAGGCTCTGAGCTGTGAGCACAGAGCCCAGTGAGGGACTTGAACTTCTGAGCTGTGAGGTCATGCCCTTAGCTGAAGTTGTACGCTTAATTGACTGAGCCACCCAGGCGCCCCTCATTCTCCATTCGAATGATAATCGCACATGTGACTTGTCTTACCCAGATCTTCTCCTGCCTCTTCCCTCCATCACTAAACTGGTTCTATTCTACAAGGCTCCTGACTATGAACCTCCTTGAAGAAACCGCACCAAGGTGAGGGGCTCAGAGAGATCCTGAACGGTAAGTGAAAATGACCCGCAAGTAACGAGGCAGGGACAGCCTGTGCTTGAATGCTCACAGGGACTCAGCCACCACGGGAAGGGGGAGGGTGGTGACCCTGAACTCAGGGTACCTCGCAGGCCTGGGAGGGCTCAGGTGGCGTGCTGGCAGCCTCCAGGGGACATGACACCCTGTCCTTGGAGCTGAGAGCCAGGCTTGGCGGTCACTGGCAGTGCGGCTATAGAGTGCCCATGACCCGGCCCACTTCATGGAGTCCTTCAGAGACTCTGGGGGCCCAGAGCTGCAGGGAGGACAGCGTGGTGGGGGGAGCCGCTTCCATCAGGTGGCCTCAGCTGATTGCTCTAGTCCGGTGGCCTTTTGGCCTTGGGCTGACTCAGAGTTGCTTAGACCAGGGATTTCCCGGGTAAATATGAGCCTGGCTTCAGCTGTAACAGCCACAAACTCTAAACAGAGAAAGCATTTGAAAACTCCTTTCAGTCTCTTCCCTCCCATTTTCTTTCTTTTGCGTCTTCCAGTCAAATGTCTTCCTTGCAAAACACCGAAGAAAACGTAAAGAAGCAAAGCCACACATCCTCCTGTGTCTTGTACTTCCAGCCCCCGCGGTAACCACTACAGACAACTGGCTGAGTATCCTTCCTGGTTTCTTAAAAAATATTAATTTATACAGATATAACTGTGCATGTACAGGCTTAAAAAAACCCAACATAGACTCGGGCTCCACATAACTGGTCTGCAACTTGTTTTTTGCCACTTAAGGACAGACCAAGATGGTCTAGCAACACCTTTACACATAAATCCATCTCCTTTTTATTTCGGGCTAAAACGTTTCTCAAGCATCGCTGGCAGGAGCCTACGTCTCTACGACAAGGTAAAAAGGAGGGCCAAGGCACTGAGGTTTGCATGGCCGGGGGGCAGCATGGCTTGTGCCAGAGCAAATGTACCTCCTAGGGTCCCTGTGTGTGACCATCACATTTGGGTCTTCTGCAAAATACTAATGTTTAGGCAGACCATCTCTAGAGGCTCTGATTTAGCAGGATTTGGGGTAGGCTGTGGTCTCTATATGAAAAAAATCCCCACTCTATTGAAGATTTTGGGTCACAGTTGGGGCTCAAAACCACCCTCCTGAGATTAAAAAAATGCCCAGTTCTATAGGTTCGGAAAGCCCCAAACCGACCCTCCGGTCCTCAAGGCCAACAGGGCCTTCTGGGCGCGCTGACCTTGAGGCCTGAGTTCTTGCGCATCCGGAGCCGGCCCATCCACATGTCAGTGAGCAACATCTGGCTGCACGTGTGTGCGATGAAGTCGCGGTGCTTGGCGGCCACAGCAAGCTGCAGGCACGTGGCGTTGCTCCAGTTCTTCAGCTCATAGGTCAGCAGCTTCATGGCCAGCTGTTCGTCCTGCTTGTAAGATTGGTCCAGAAGCTCCACTGCCAGCTGGCCAAAGTCCCTGAAAGACAACGTGGGGGGTTGTCCTTTGGCCATCTTGGGGCCTCGGATGATGAAAGTGGGGACCCACTGGCCAAGCCACAAAAGGTGGTCAACTGTGCGGCCTCGTTGTTGCTTACAGGATCTAGTCTGTTCATTCATTCATTTAGCCAACATCCATTAAGCATCTACCGTGTGCTAGATACTGTGTTTAGAACTGGGGGTGTAAGCCAAACAGGACACGTTCCTGGTACTCAAGGTCCCCAGTTCAAGGCTACAGATGAGGGAGGCAGACCAAAAAAAAAAAAAAAAAATCAACGATTAGAGTGTGGTAGGTCTTCACAAATGTGATAGACCTCAGTTCATAGCTGAACCTTATCAATCACACAAGCTTGTGATCCTAAACAACTTAATTAAATCCTCTGAGTCTCACTTTCTTCAGCTTTAAAATATAAATAATAGGGGCGCCTGGGTGGCTTAGTTGTTTAAGTGTCCAACTTCGGCTCAAGTCATGATCTCGTGGTTCGTGAGTTCAAGCCCCACGTTGGGCTCTGAGCTGACAGCCCAGAGCCTAGAGCCTGCTTCAGATTCTGCGTCTCCCTTTCTCTCTGCCCCTCCCCTGTTCGTGCTCTGTCTCTCTCTCTCTCAAAATAAATAAACATTGAAAAAAAAATTTTAATATAAAATATGCATAATACAAGGACAAACTTTTGAGGCAGTTGAGAGGCTGAAATAAAATCTACATGTCCATGAGGACTGTATCTAGCACTGTGTGCCATATATGTTAACTATTGGTGTCCACCCTCTGTGTGTACCACTGAGACGACCCTACCTCCACAGAATGGTTTGAGTAACTCAGACCCTCTGATATTTGGAGTCTGCCTCCTCTTCTCTCCCCTCCTGATCACCCCATTTGCTGGGCTGGCCCACCTGGAGTTGTGGTTCAGCTCCTGAGAGATGTCGTCGACCATGTCATTCTCAGACGCCTCGTGAGCCATGGCTTTGCAGAGCTTACAGGCCACCAGGGCCTTGGCCATGGCCTCCTCGCCATGCTGCCAGAAGAATAGGGCCATCTTCTGCCTCTTCATCAGGACGGCCCACACCATCAGCTCGTGGAAAGGGAAAGGGAAGTGGTTGATTTCAGGGTCATCCAGGTCAATGTCCACCTCTTCTTCTCGCTTCTTGGTTGTCTTTCTTCCTCGCCTCAAGGGAACATCATCCTGTCATTTTAGGGAAAAAACAGGGGTGGAGTGAGAGATGAGTCAACTAAATATATCAAATAGTTATTTGCTGTATATCTACTATGGACCCTGCTCTGGGATTGATACAGAAGGAACTAGCCTATCCCAGCACCTTTCCCAGAAGCACTCATGCCTAACTTTAAAACAAGTTATCATAAGTGCATAAGATCAGCGTTATACTTCAATTTTTAAAAAGTATTTTTCAATGGCTTTTTGCAATTTCCCTTCCTCCCTCTCTCCCTCCCTTCCCCCCTTCCTTCCTTCCTTTACTTTCGTCCATTTTTTTTTCTACACATAAGGTTATTTGTGTCTCATGATGGAGAGCACTACCCTTTTCTCTGAAAGGACAAGGACATCCTATACTTGCAGGTGCAAAAGCAACAATACCCACAGGAACAAAAGCTGGGAAACAGATAATCTGTCTTGAGTTTCTACATACCTCTTAGGTGCATTTGTGAAGTATTTCTGGCCTCTAGATCGGTTGCCATTTGTAAACACCCTTGAATAGATTTCACTTACTGGAATTTATATGCTTCTTTGGTTTTCGAGTTAGTATTTCAAATACGATTTATTTTCTTGCTAATGTAACCTCAGGGTGGAATTTTGAAAGCTATGTGACTTGCCCTCTCAACACTGGGAAGAAGTTCACTTCTTATTTTAGAATCATGTGCTAAGCCTTACCAATTGAATGAGTATATATATGTCAATTATTTATATATATGTATATATATAGTATATGAATGGATATATATGAATGAATATATATAAAGAATATATGAATGACTATTCATGAATATATTAATGAATAATGAATATATATAAATAATTGACATTAATAATTTGGGCAAATACTCACCTCCATTCCCAGTAGTTTCAAGGCTTTGGGCTGTTTAAAAAAATGTTATACATAAAGTTAGATCTTTCTTTATAGAGGTAAGAAAAGAATCCTATTATATCTTAACCAGGTAATAGAACAACTCTATATGGTACCATATAGCATTTATTCATTTCACTAAAAAAATAAAAATGCTACAAGAGGAACCTATTTATAGAAATTCTAGGAGAATTAGGGATTTAGTGATTTTAGTGAATCACAGAAAATTAGAAATCTAGAAAGGCACAGTGGTATTGCCCGAGGGTAGAGCCTCCAGATTTATAATCTCTTCTATGGGTCAACATTTCTTCTATCTTCCTAGAACCATCCTATTTGGCTGACATCTCCATGATCTCAGACATTTGGGTGAGCCATGAAGTGTTCAGTCAAACCGTGAGTTGTTTCTCAAACCTCTGAAAGACCTCTATTACCTAGAGACTTGGAACATTACTCAGAATATATGTTCAGAGGCTTCATGTCAACTACCTCTCTATGCAGCTGCCCAATGAAACAAGGGTGCATGTCACAAGGGCATGTGCTGATGGCAGCCAAAGTTGCTCTATGGCATGGAAAGCTGTCAGCACATATAGTAGCATCATTGGTCGTACTGGGAATGTGCAAAATAGCCACAGGCCAAGACAGAGAGAGAAGGCAAATCAGCAGATTATGGAACTTGATTTATATCTAACGAGTGAAGGCACAAAATTACATCTCAGGGGTCAGGAATTCCCATTCTGTGTTTTAAGTGTTACAGAATGGTTGAGTGCTTTCCTGAAAGTTGTTTGAGTCAACAGTCAGGGTACAGCACCTACTATTCCTCAAAATTTTATTTGACCACTTAAGTAGGAATAGCTTGAACCTTGCCTCTCTCCCTTTCTTTCCGCTTAGCTTCCAAAGTGACAACCGCTTTGAAATTTGGGTGATTCTTTTCTTTCCTATTTATACTTCTTGGTGTGTTGAAAGTGGCCGCATAGCACCACAAAATACTTTCAAAAGGAGAAGATAAGCTTTATTAAAAATAAAAATCATGCCAACCACCAGCTAGAGTAACAGCTCTCCAAATGTGGCCCAGGAACCATGTGATACTTTCTGGGTCTCTGGGGAGTCAAAGATGTTTTCCCAATAATACTAACATGGTATTTGTCTTTGACACTGTGCTAACATTTGCAACGACGGCGCAAAAGAATGGAGAATAAAACTGTCGGGCGCTTTCATAGGAATAAAGGCAGTGGCGCCGAACTTTACGAGTGGTCATTAGATTCACTGTTATGCACTTGAAGGTTAAAAACAAACATCCAGTTTTTTCTTAAGAAGTCCTTGATGAGACCTAAAAAAATATTAGCTTTATTAAATCTCTAACCTCGATACTAAAGAAATATCTTTTCGGTGTTTTGAGGGATGAAATGGCAAGTACGGGTGAAGCACTCCCGTCACATACTGAGCTCTGCTGGGTTGTCCTGAGGACAAACATGCAGTTACTTGGCTTGTGGCCACATTGTTTCATGGACTATCTGCTTGAAGGAATGACTGGCAGACAAACTATGTTTCTTAGTCTTGGATACGTGGCGGATATTTTTGGATATTTTTGGAAGTGGCCAAAGTGGGGCTGACATTTCAAGGAAAGCAACTGATGGTATTTATTGCCAATGGCAAAATTCAAAATTTTCCAAGCAGAAATTAGAAAAAAAGTGAGAATTTTTGAAACCTTGTATATCCTTTCCCCCATGACCTTGACAGTTTTTCAGAAGTTAAAGACTTTTCTGATGACCTTGACAGTTTTTCAGAAGTTAAAGACTTTTCTGATGAGATTGGAGATGATATTAATGAATGCGAGTTTTTGAAACTGTTTGATGAAATGTGTCAACAGGGAGAAGATCTGCATGACTCAACAAATCAATATTTTACAATGACCAATCCTTGATGTTACAAGATCCATACAAAGTGTAAGATCAACCAATGGATTTTAAAGTAACAGAGTATAAAAGTTCATTGAAGCTATTTCAGATTTTGTATTGCAATTAATCTTTAAGAAACAGCCCCTTGTAGGGGGGCCTGGGTGGCTTAGTCGGTTAAGCGTCTGACTTTCACTTAGGTCATGATCTCACGGTTCGTGGGTTCGAGCCCCGCGTCGGGCTCTGTGCTGACTGCCAGCTCAGAGCCTGGAGCCAATTTCAGAGTCTGTATCTCCCTCTCTCTCTGACCCTCCCCTGCTCATGCTCTCTCTCTCTCTCTCCTAGAAATAAATAAAAATATTAAAAAAAAGAAAAAGAAACAGCCCCTTGTGGGGCATCTGGATGGCTCAGACGGTTAAGCATCTGACCTCAGGTCAGGTCATGATCTAATGGTTTGTGAGTTTGAGCCCAGAGTCAGGGTCTGTGCTGACAACTCAGAGCCTAGAGCCTGCTTCAGATGCTGTGTCTTCCTCTCTCTCTGCCCCTCCCCTGCTTGAGCTCTGTCTCTTTCCCCTCTCTCCAAAGTAAATAAACATAAAAAAAAAAAAGAAACTGCCACTTGTTGAGTTTTGATGTATGTAGCTTCAAAAAAGAATATAATTATCTATAAAGATTATTAAAATGCTCCTTTTCACTCTCTCTCTCTCTATATGTGTATATATTTGTCATATTTGTCATATATTTGTATGAAGTCAGATTTTTTTGTATATTTCAACCAAAACGTCTGGCAACAGACTGAATGTAAAGGTAGATGTGAGAATCTAGCTGTCTTCTATTAAGCCAGATATTACAGAAATATCCAAAAAATGTACAATGCTACTCTTATCATGAAAATAGTTATTTTTCATGAACATGTTATTTACGTTAATGTGTAATGGGCTTCTTATGGTTAACTTAAAATGAATTAATATTCACTATTAATGAATACATATTTTTAAGTGTTTACTTTCTAACATGATAATACCCATAGCTAGGACTCCCATATATAACAGCTTTTCGGGGTCCTCAATAATTTTCAAAGGTATAAATAGATCCCAAGACCAAAAACCTTGAAAACTTCTGAGGTAGATAAGATTAATTTGACTTTCATTATTATTCCCTGATCATTAAGGCTCACTCCCAGTTGCCAGTTTCTTATTTTAATTGGACCTAGTGGGGAAGAGAAAGGAGTGTATCAACTGATACACTACCTCCCTCCCCCACTTTTTTTAAGGATTTGATGGCAGAGGGAAGAAGAGGTGGGTGGGTGGGCCAGTTGCCTTCTTATCTGAGATCCTCCTTGAGATAATCTATATCCCAAATATATCCCAAATGTGTCGCGCCCTAATCCTCCTAGGACTTCAGAGAAGGGAACTTGCTGCAAAACTCACCCTCTTGGGGCCAAAGAGATTGTGGTAGAGCGTCCTGAAGCGCTTGCGCGTGTAATTGCAGCGGTAAGCCCCGCCCATCAGGTACTCTATCACCAGGCCGATGTCAATCAGGCTGATTCTGTAGTCTGGGGGCAGGTTCCCCTATCAGGGAAGAACGAAAACACACACACAAACACATCCAAAAGACAGCGTGGTTTACTAGGGATTCCATGCCATGTGTTCTGTAACTATTTTAGAGTAAAAAAAAATAATAATTAAAAAAGAAACATATGAATGTATTATTATGCTGGTTAATTAATTCACCTTAAAATAGATCCAACCGAAACCTGGATATTCTCGCTTGGAAAGAAGACATAAGTTAAATAAGAAGATGCAGTAATCGTCGGCAATAACAGAAAATCAAAATATTTATTCAAGTCTTCAGCTGGGGAGAAAAAAACACCAGTGTAGCAGAGAGAAACACAAGGCTTGACATGGCAAACACTATGAGTCCCAGTCGCTAGCAACTCCGTTCCCCAGATCCCCTTCTGCCCCCCACACTTGCCCTGTGCTGCTCTGTCTCTGACCCAGGCTTGTTACCACTCTCTTGCTGACCAGTTACACTCGCTAAATGAAGACTCCTTCCAGAAGATGATTGTTATTACCAGGGCCTGTATCAGGTGGGCTATGATTAGAGTTTAGATCTCCCTTGGTAACAACGAAAAAAAAATTGGCACCGTTTTCACCAGAGACGGGATAGATGTCAGGATGAAGTCATTCAGGAGTGCCCCTTATGGTTATTAAGAGAAATGCTGGTGGCATAAGAAGAGATTCTATCAAGGGAATATTTATTTTCCCAGAATTAAGGAGTTTTTGGATATTTTCTTTCAAAGAGTGCTTCTTATGGGGTAAGTTTTAGATGCTTGCATCTATAGGTGGAAAAACACAAGAACTTTTACCATTGTCTACTCAATACTGGCTTCTACACCAAAAGGGTGCTCTATCAGGTCTAAGGAAAACTACTTGCTCTGCTAGGTCAAGGAAGAATTGATTCCATTTGTGGCAAATTTTGAGAGCACAGAGAGTTCCAAAGGGTGTGATTGATTATTTTACTGTCTGGTTTATTTCCTTGATGCAAAAGTGCACTCTAAACCATGAATGGCAAGGGTACCACACTGTGGAGGGAGCCGGCGCACTGTGTCCTTAGGTATATTTTGGACAGGGATGAGGGCTTTGTCTACTTTTGTCCTTAATGGAGGACCCACTCCAGATGCTGTGTGAGATCTCTGCAACTTCACAGAAGTGGCTCATAGCCATGGTGGTGGTTCTCCAGTTTTGGTGGCATCAGAATCACCTGGGAAACTTGGTGACAGTGCAAAGGCCTGGCTCCTGTCCTGCTTCAGTGTATGGGTCTCTACATGGTTTATTAGCTCTCCAGATGATTCTGACATATACCAAAGTATGTGGAACCTCTGGTCTAGTAACAAAGGTTCAAGTGGGTTCATGTGGCAGAATCAGAAAATTCCTAGCATTTAATCATCATCATTAGGAAATCAGCTTCAGTTGTTTTGCTAAACTGAGGGTAGGTTTTCAGTTATGCTTACTCAGCTTCCCTATGGTCAAATGCACGCATTTGAAGGGGCTTCAGGGTTAGAGGTGGCCTACTGTATCCTTCCTATCAAACCAAGAGCCTTAATTGTTTTATTGATCATTGTATCCCCAGCGCCTTTTATAGTGGCTGGTGTTTGGTAGGCATTCAGAATGTTTGGTGGTAAGAATGTGAATGAGTAAAAGAGTGAAATAATGGATGTGGTTGGGATCAAGTCTCAGTTTCAGGTTTTTCAGTATTGTGTTCTTGTCAGTATCGGAGCTAACTAGCCACAGTCTGTGAATCATCCTGTTTGGGTCAGCCCCACGTCATTGAGGAAACTGACTTGAAACATGCCTACCACTCCATCGGTATTCTCAGTGGAGTAGAAGTGAGAAGGAACGAAGGGAGAACAACTGAAGCACCCGCCTAAGCACAGGGGATCCTGTGCTGTTTAGACTTGCTTGCTGCCCCTGACCCGTTCATCGCCCTGCCCAGCAAGCTCCACCTCTCCCTTGGCTTGGGGTGCAAAGCAGGCTTGGGGACCCAATTTGAGGCAGCTGAGCAAAGCTGTCACACGTTGAGTGACAGAAACCCTCCCATCCTTGACCTTGGCTCATCAGAACCCCAACCGAAATGTCCCTTCATAAAGATGGACTTATTCTCCTCCCCACCATTCTCAGAATTTCAGAATCTCCTCTGAGGACCCTCTCATGAATCTGCCTGAATTGGCAAGTCAAGCTATCCTCAGACTGTCAGACTGTGGTAGGGTCCCCACCCTAAGGAGAAAAAAAAAGGGAAAGAAAACTTCAAGGTAACCTGGCTGTGCGCCAACGTGACATCCCTCATGACCTTGTAAACTGAGACTACTTACTCAAACTGCATGTTTATGTGTGTTACCATATATGGGAGACAAAGAAATAGAAAATGTATAAAAAGCTATGCCACGTGACATTCAGTGCTCAGTTCTTTGGGTACGAACCCAACTGAGTGGTGCCGGCGCCAATAAAGTTGCTTCCTGGAAATTAAAAATGCCTCGGTGTCACGACTCTTTGTGTAGGAATCCTGCTACAAGACAGGACCAAGTGTCTGACTTCTTTATGCAAAGCACGGGAAACACAGACAAAAGGGAACTTTGAGAAAGTCTTAAGATAGTAACTTTTCATGGACTGCCCTTTCCATAAACATGAAACTTAGTTACAAATATTACTCATGGAAACACTTTTCTCCATTGTTTTGGGACTGGCTAACAAGGCTATGGGGTTTTGGACCGTCAACTGTACCTCACAGACAGGCCTGTTATTTCAAAAGTCAAAAAACCCCAAAGCCCGGACACTCTTGGGTCTGTCTCGTCTCATCTGCGCCTATCAGGAAAAGCCACAGAAGAGGTTCCACGTCTGTGTTATTTTCCTGGGCATTGGGAGGCAGGCAGGGTGGAGAACCCTAGCTGTGAATCAGCTGCCCTGGGCTTCTTTCTGTCTGTCCTTCATGAATCAACTGATTTCCCTCAAGGCTCCCGTGTAAAAGGGTTGAACTCTATGGCCTCTATGGTCTCTATATAAGGCTTGGGTCCCAGGGTTCAGGAAAATCCCTAAAAGATTTCCTGGGATGCTAGCGAAAGGCAATCATAGCAATTTCTATGAATTTGTGCCTTATTTTTAATCCTGTAAGAATTCTCTAAATTTGAATCATGAGTAACCACAAACCTAACACCTATATATATTTTTTCTTTTGAGAAACCTGTGTGTGAACATCAGTTTGAATTCTAAGAACGAGACACCAATATTGTCTGAAGTGAGTGGCACTGATTGTGCTTTTGAATTGTCTAGAAGGGTGGGGCTTATCAGGAAAGTGATCACTGTAAAATTCAATAAAAATCTGAAAGGGGCCAGTAAAACATTTTTTTGCAAATGATTTTATTCACAAAGGGCTATTAGGTTTATAAACGACAAGAGAAGGTGCTGGATTCTTTTTTTGTAGGCATTTGTCATTAAAAGCTTGATTATTTTCAAGTCATTTATATGTGATCTGGTCTGAAACGGGATAAAGGAGTCAGTGAGCATTCTGGGTTCAGCTCAGCTTTGAGCCAAGGCCTTAAAGGAATTGGCCTGCATTTTATTTGACCACAAGGGGGCGATGTTCACCTAACCGAAGACAATGAGGGTTCCACCAGCATTTACCTGCCTGTTCTGTTTTACATGTGTAAGCAGGCTATGTCAATGAAAACAGTGGATTGGAGGATTTGGAAATAAGGAGAGTCAGATGACCTTGTTAAAGTGATATCTGGAGGAGGGAGGGCTTACTTTACCAAGTAATGTGTCTGAAAGCCTCTAAGACTGATGGCATCTGTCCCCATCGTCCCATTCCCCACCAGCCCCGAGGCCTGGATAGCAGAGAAATTAAGGGAAATTAGTTTCACAATTTTTTACTCGGAAGAATGGAAACCTTTTGGGGAAGAAGAAATGGATTTCGTATAATTTGTAGAATGGGGTACAATTTCGGCCTCTTGAGTTAAAGGTGTGCTGGCTGGTAACACTGGGGCATGTCTGAGGTGCTGTGCCGATGGCGGTGGCCACCTGTGACCTCACATGTCACAGATGCAGAGAACACCCAGCACTATGACCCTGCAGTGGAAATAGCACTGGGCTAGCACAGTGGTCCTCGCTCTGCCTCTCTGTGACCCTAGGGAGATCACTTCCTTCCTCTGTTCCTCACTTTACACTCTGAAAACAGGCACTTTGGACAGAGCTACTTCTAAGGTCCTGTCTGTTTCTCGAGGTCCAATAGTCTGACTACCGCCTGGCAGGCTGCTCTTTGTTCTTTGCTGCCAGGTCACTGCTCAGATTCTTGTCCAGACCTCACAGTGTCTATGGGGTTTCCACTGATAGCCCCTGAAATCTGGTTAGTGGAGCTGGGAGGTCCATCAGAGACAGGGATAGTAAAGCACTAGGCAGACATGGTGACGTGCTCTGCACATCCACCTCCTCTGGAAAAAGCAGAGAAAGTGAACGGTGCCTCATATACCACAGGTAATGTCCAAAAACCTTCTGGAGGAGTCTTCCTCTGCTTGGATGCTTTGCAAATCAGGAATTCAAGAATGACATTGGAATCATGCCCCTTCTGTCTGGTGTTTCTGTTATTCTCTCCTCACCACTTGGGTATTTACTTTGGTAATTGGTGAAGCCTAAACACTTAAGTCCCGTTTCATGCCACACCAACATGCGGCAAGCTGTGGGACTCAAATAATTTGATCCCCTGAGTAAAACAGAGAATCTTGGCTCCATGGGTAGGTACCACCTGACAACCTGAAAATGCTGTCTCTTTTTCTCATGCCCTGAGCCACTACTCTGAGGCTAAGTTTTCATCAATGCCATCCTAAAGATGACTTTTAATTAAAAGAACAATTTAAGTGCATGTATTAGATCTGGTCTTTTAAATACACTCTTTTTCACAAGTCAGCTCATGATGTTCACCATCAGATTTCAGCTGTTTGGGAAACACTTTTCGTGGAAACATATAATAAACCTTCAAAACGGGCTTGTTTCCTTCCAATGTGTGAAAAGTGTAAAATGATTGCTGGTTGTCAGGTTTACCAAGGAAGAGTGGGAAAAGACTATTCTGGAAAACGTTCATGGAAAAAGAAGACATTCCCACAAAATTTGACATGGTTATAGACCAGGAAAGCTTTTACTTTCTTTAATTTTTAAGTCTTATTTATTTAAGTTGTCTCTATACCCAGTGTGGGGCTTGAACTCACAACTCTGAGACCAAGAGTTGCATGCTCTTCTGATGGAGCCAGCCAAGTGCCCCTAGACAGGCAGCCTTTAAAAAAATAAAAATGCTTTTGCAAACCTGCATGAATTTGGGAGACGGGATTATGAAAATGTCCTTTCTTTACCCAAAGAGGATCTGAAATACTTTTCTCCCACCCCTTAATTCTGCAAAGCCCTGAGACTTGATTCCCCCGTGAATGAATTTTAAACTATCATAATTTCATAGCTACTTCTATATAATACTCAAATATCACCCTCCCTTGGTGGGGAATGATAGTACAGGTAATCCGAAGTATTAGCACATGTAAGTTAAGAAAGAAAAACTAGTACTTGAAAACATACAGAGGCACAAATTGAGCAGACAGTTAGCTTCTAAAAATGGCAAGTTAGATTTCACGGAAAAGCAGACAGACTCGGGCCACTCCAGTGTAATGTAGCATAGGTGCATCCAATGGATTTATGCGGGAAAACAGGGAATTGACTTGGCCTTTATCATTCCAAATTTCTGACTGATGCTGAATAACCAACTCTTTACCTCATTGCTCCTAGATTGCTCCCCTGGTATCAATAATTTGAGATTTTTGAAACTAGCTTGGGAGCCTTTCTCCAAATTCAGTTCTGTTGATTTCAAAGGAGAATTGGCCTTGAATACACCATGCTGGTAAAGGTAGGACAGGCTGATTATTCTTAAACACACTCCCTGGGTTCGTAAGAGCTCTTTGCATTTTATTTTACAGACATAGCATCAAACACTGTGCTTAAGGTTCAGAATGTCATTTTTTTTTTTTTACCAGGGCTTATTGCTTACTGGTTCTTTTTTTTTGGTCCCAGATCATATCAATAAACATGTAATATAAAGTCTTCTAATCTTAAAGCACAAAGCACATGCTATCTATCAGGTTCCTTAATTTTGAAAATTGTTTCCACTGCCGCAGGTCTGCTTAGCATTTTAAAAATAGGCTTTGTAGGTTTGCATATCGCATTGGCCTAGATTGCTCTTAGTCCTCTGGAAACATCTAAGAAAGATGTGCACCAATATTTATCTCTCTCATTTACTTCTTAAGAAAACACAAAACCTCCTCATTCTTAGCTCTGTCATCCATATAACATAAAAGGTGATTTCCAGCTCCTTTGGCTCTGACTGTTATTTCTTCTGTTCTCCAAGTCAGAGACTCTCCTTTATCACTGAAATAAATAGAGCCTGTGTTTCCTGCTCCTCTCTCTTCCCAAGGGAAAAAAAACATAGGCTGTTTCTCCCCATCTGACTGGCAGTCTCTTTTCCCAGGTAAAAGGGTGAATCGTTCCTTAGCCAGTTCAGAACTATCCTGGGTCATTTGTAATCATTTTTTCCACTTAATAAATCTGTACATAAATGAATCTCCATATATTTTTGCTCCAATATTTGGATCACACTTAAAAGAAAAATAAAACTACTTCTAAAACTCCTTCCTCCCAAACTCTTATCACCCTGGTCTTTCTCATTAGTTTATATTACTTCTGGAGTCCATCTTTAGTTGAGAAGTTTTAAAAAACCCTTAACCTTAAATATACATGCCTTCTAATCAGGTGACATGGGCAAAGGTAATAAGCAGCTAATGGGATTTCAGAAGGGAGAAAATGATATTGCAAAGCAGAGTCCTACAAGGAAGAGAACATGATGGGAAGGATTTTGATCATTTATCCTCAGTGTAATCTGACTGCAAAAATCCCTTTGGAAATCAGGCAAGATACTGAGAAACTAGGAGATAGAGGTGAATCAGTGACCTTATTTGAAGGCTTGAATTGGCCAACAGCTGGGACTGAGGGACAAAGGCATAGCTGTCCCCTCAGAGAGCCTCTCAGTTAATGCAGTGACCCAGACTAGCTCAAGGTGAGGGGGGATAAGATCTTATTTATTATTAGAAATACTTTATTATTAAAAAGCCCTAGGGACATTTTATTGAATGTGAGCAACAAATATCTTGGCAAAGAATACGTGTTAAATGTGTACGTTTAATCTTTTGAGACACTTCCCCCTCTTCAGTTTCCAGGCAGTTGTAAATCAGGATAAATCACACAAAACTGGAAGACTGGAGGGTGAGAGAAGTGGCTCTGTTGAGTGTGGGTGTGATGATGGCTCAAAATGGGGCAGATCAAGGAAAGATGGGATCTTGGTAAAATGGTGGTTGGGTTGGACGCACAGACTGCACAGTGGCTGTTCTCTTGCCTGGAAAGAACAACAGGCTTCACTCACAACAGATGAAGCATCCTTCAGTAAGGTCATGTGGAGATGACCGGAAAGCTTCCAAGAGCCAACAGAAGGGTCTTTTGTTTTGTTTTGTTTTGTCCTCTACTCATTACTAGCAAAGGTCCAGCTGGTTACTAGGTACATTCTAAGCAGCCCCAGGACCTTTACTTGTCCCTTCAAGGGAAACATTTAAAAATGGCTACTTTTCCTAAGGGACGTTCTAGACAGTGACTCCATATATATATATATATATATTTTTTTTTAACCTTACTTTGTAGCTTCCTCTGACTATGTCCTTTGGGCTTTGGTGAAGAATTGCTACAAACTAGTGGGTGGGTGTGCACTCATGTGTGTTGGGGGTGGGAAAAGTGGCCCCATCTAGTCCATTTCTTGGGGAACGCTGTCAAGGATTCAGAATTAAAGTTACCTCTGGGAGAGAGCTTGTATGGGGCAAAAGAACAAGCATGTGGTTAAGATTAAACCCAGCATCCCTTACACCTCACTCTTCTCATCTGCAAATGGGAATCATCCTATATAATAATAAAATAATAATTCATTTCATTGAATTGACATGAAGATGAAGTGAGCTGAAACCTATAGGGAGCGTAGATTAGTGCCATGCTCCCCATCATCACTAAAGGTTTGGTATAATATTATTCATTGAAGGACCTGAGTTCAAATTCTACCTATTCCCTAACTACACACTACAGTTCTCACTTCTTTACATTTCAGCCTCTATCTCTGATAAAATGGGAATAATTCTGCTTGATCCAAACCTACTGGCTTTTTTTAATCCCATCAAGTTAGATGATCAATGGGAAAAAAATATGCTGGAAAAAATAAAGTGTTAGAAGAGTGGAATGCACAGATGCGTTTTAGTTTCTGATTCTCTGAGACTTATTGAGCTATGCTTCCTGAGCCCTATACAATGTTAGAAGTGACAGTGACGCATTGCATCAGGAGCTAGTACATGCAGATACCTCCTCTGGTTAGTCAGACAATATGGAAACCAGCTCCCCAAACAGTGAGCGGCACGTGGTAGAAAAGAGGCGATGGCATAAATCCACACAGCATGGGGCAAAGCCTAGCGTTCTGCTATCCAAAACATTATGTCCAACGAAAGCATCTAAAACCACAGAGAGTGGAGGTAAAACTGCAGCTGCATTGTAAGCAGAGATGTCATAGTTAAAAGGCAACACACACACACAGTGTCCTGAAATGAGGCATCTCGCAGGGACAGGAGCGCTCTAGCAGCGCATGCAAAACACAGGCGCTTTCTAATACAGAAAGCAGTCAAGACAGGGCCTCCGACCTGCAGTCGAGAGGGTTCTTACCTTTTTGACATCCCTGACCAAGTGGTACAATGTATTTGAGGGCCCATGTCTCTGAAAACAATAAAGAAGAATCAGATGGTTTTGCTAGCCAGGGGCTCTCTTTGGCAAGGTGAGAAGGTTCTGGAAGGAAGGGTTCTGGCCGGAGGGGGGGGGTTCTTCATGATGAACCTTGTTCTAGTTGCTCAGTTGTATCTGGCTCTTCTGAACACACACCCTGGCAGATTTTTGGATTGTGGTTCCTCAGGAAAGAGCATTTGAGGTTCTAGGTTCAATCTTTATAAAAAAGGTGGTCAACTCTTCTGACAGCTGGGCCAAAACATTGTTTAAGGGGGAGACAAAGGGGCCAATTGAAAGCTTTGAAAATACACTTTGGCACACTGCTGATCCCAACTTGTTTATTACCCATAACAGATGAGAAATTGTCTAAAATGGGTTGGCAAATGGCCAAATAGTATTTTAGACTTGGTGGGTCATACGGTTTTCACTGCAACTGTTCCACTCTGCCATTTTGCAACAGCAGCCCGAGACAGTATGCAAACAAATGCACTTGCCTATGTTTCAAAAAAACTTTATTCATAGACACCAAAAGAGAGTCAAATTTCATATAATTTGAATGTGCCGCAATATGTCGTTCTTCTATTGATTTCTTCAATCATTAAAAAATGCTTAAAAAACGTTTTTAGCTTGTGGGCTGTATAAAAACAGGCAGTGGGCTAGATTTGACTCTTCTGTAGCAGTTTGCTAAAATCTAGTCTAAAGAAAAAGCCACAGGCTCTTTGTGGGAAAAGAGAGGCTAATGCGAAATGACTTGCTATCCTATAGTCTTTTGGGTAAAGGCATGTTAGATAAAGTACAGGTTGCTCAGTAAATGTGAATTCCAGATAGACAATGAGTAATTTCTAATATGAGCACATCCCCTGCAATATTTGGGATTACTTATATTAAAAATGATTTCTTCTTTATCTGAATTTAAATTTAACTGAGCATCCTGTATTTCTACTTGCAAAGTCTGGTGACCCTACTGGAGAATCTCAAACAGTGATGGCAAATCCTTCAGCACTGTGGGAACACATTTGGGTATTGAGACACTTCCTGTGTATTGCCTCAACTGCTTGCCCATTCTATTGCCTCAACTGCTTGCCTATTCATGAGACATAGAATTCTCTGAATTCTTTTTCCACCGAGGAATGCAGTATGGTATAGGGATTGAATATGCAAACTCTGGAGACAGAGTGCCTGGCTTCAAACCTAGCTGTACTGTTTATCAGCTATGACCATATGCTAGCTACTTATTACTGAGGTCATTCACAGTCCCATAATCCTTTGTGACAAAGTACTCCACAGGAAACTGTCAGCTGTTGATTGGGATGATGAAATCTGTTGGCCTTTCTTGATCTAGAACTTTCCTACTTACTTCTTTCCAATCATTGGAATAAACCTATTACCTTGATTAACCAAAATTCTATGTGTTTTATATATTTTATTGAAAACCCCATTTTTCTTTTTTTTTCCTAGCTTAATCGAGATGTAATTAAGTTTGATATTGTGTAAATTGAAGGTGTACAATGTGATTTGTTTATCATAATAAGGTTAGTTGACACATCCTTCACTTAACATAATTACCATTTTGTTGTTATGATAAGAACATTAAAGTTCTAATCTCATAGCAACTTTCAAGTGTACAATACAGTGTTGTTAACTATAGTCACCGTGCTATACATAAGACTCCTGGAATGTATTTGTCCTCTAACTGAAAGTTAATACTCTTTAACTAACATCTCCCATTTTCTCCACCCCTCAGCCCCAAATATTTTGAGGGTCCTCTACACTGTGTTTTAATATATGCCTCCCTTTACACATATTAGTTGACCACATGTGCATGTATCTATGGCTGGGCTTTCTACTCTGTTCTATTGGTCTATGTGTCTGTTTAATGGCAATACTATACTGTCTTGATTACTTCGGCTTCGTGAAATAGTTTGAAACTAGGAAATGTGATGCTTGTAACTTTGTTCTTCTCTCTCAAGATTGCTTTGGATATTCAGGGTCCTTTGTGGTTCCATGTGAATTTTAAGATCATTTTTTCTATTTCTATAAAAAAATGCCTTTGGAATTTTGAAAGGGATTGCATTGAACCTATAAAAGGCTTTGGGTGGTATGGACATTTTAACATTATTAACACCTATAATCCATGGCTATGGGATATCTTTCCATTTATTTGTGTCTTCTTCAATTTCTTTAATTAGTGTTTTATAATTTTTACTTTATAGATCTTTTACTTCTTGGTTAAATTTATCCCTAAGTATTTTACAGTTTTTGATGCAATTATAAGGTAAATGGGATTGTTTTATTCTTTTTTCGTAGAGTTCTTTGTGTATAGAAATGTAACTGATTTTTGTATATTGATTTTGTGTCATGAAACTACTGGATTAATTTATTAGTTCTAACAGTTTTGTGTGTGTGTGTGTGCGTGTGTGTGAAGTCTTTAGGAATTTCTGTATACAAGATCATGTTATCAGCAAACAAAGACAATTTTATTTCTTCCTTTCCAAACTGGATGCCTTTTTCTCCCACTCTCCCTCCTTTCTTCACGCTTTCCTCCCTCCCTCCCTCCCTTCTTCCTACCTTCCTTCTTTCCTTTGCCTGATTGTTTTGGCTAGGCTTTCCAGTACCATGTTTAATAAGAGTGGTGAGAGTGGGCACTATTACCTTGTTCCTAATTTCAGGGAGAAAACTTTCAACCTTTTTACCACTGAGTGTGATATTAGTTGTGAACTTGTCATAAATGGCCTTTGTTATACTGAGGTGTGATCCTGCTATATCGAATTTGTTGAGAGATTTTACCATAAAAGGATGTTGAATATTGTCAAATGTTTTTTCTGCACCTATTGAGATGATAGGATTTTTGTCTTTCATTCTGTTAATGTGGTATGCCTTTATTGATTTACATATATTGAACCATCTTTGCATTCAGGAATGGAATCCCATTTGCTCATGGTGTATAAACTTTTTAATGTGCTGTTGAATTTGGATTATTAGTATTTTGTTGAGAATTTTTTCATTTATATTCTACAGGGATACTGGCCTATAGTTTTCTTTTCTTGTAATGTCCTTATCTGGCTTTGGTGTCAGGGTAATTAATGCTGGCCTCCTAAAATAAGTTTGAGAGTATTGCCTCCTCTTTAATGTTTTTGAAAAGTTGGAAAAGAATTGGGGCTAATGCTTTCAATGTTTTGTAGAATTCATCAAATTCCCCTGGGAGGCCATCTACTTCTGGACTTTTCTTTGTAGGGAGGTTTCTTATTACCAATTCAATCTCTTTACTTGTTATTCGTCTGTTCAAATTTTTCTATTTCTTCATGATTCAGACTTGGTTGGTTGTACATTTCTAGGAATTTATCTACTTCTCCTATGATTAATTATTGATCTTTATCATGGGGGTGGAAGCTGGGGCCTCCTACTCTTTCTTTTAATTCAGTCTGTTATTCTTGCTGAAAGTCTCACTCTGCAGAGCTAAGAAAAGTCTGTGGAGGACACAGGAACCTGGAGCCACTCTGCTAACCTGTCTTCTAGTTTCAGCATCAGGAATAAGATAGAGCCAGTGTGGCACCATCTAACACCCACCACTGGCTGGGGATGGGTCAATAAGTTCCATCTCATTAGTGCTGTGGGCATTGGGACAGAGGAGCATTGTGACAAATGAGGGGAAGAATAATCTCTGGGACAGAAGTGTTGGTTCAGTACTGGCTTTCTTTTTTACTTAGGGGTTTTGTGACCTTAATTAAATCAATTCCCTTCTTGGCCTCAATTTTCTTATCTGTAGAATGGAGGAAAACAATAGCTACTCTTTTAAAAAAATAATCCATGTAAAAATTTATTGACCTTGATTAAGAATTCTTATATATTTAACACTGCTTCTGACTTATCATAGGAATTACTTCCCCAAAATATTAATAACAGCCGGATTGAAAGAGCTTTTAGGAAATGTAGCAATGTTGTTTATGTAAGTATACCACATTAGAAGTCTACTGGAGAGCCAAAGGAGTTTGTTCGTGTACAATGTGAAATTAAAAGAACAGGTAGCAAAAACTATTGAGTTAGGTCCAGAGCCTTTGGGAAGAAAGGTTTTCTTAACCTTCCTGAATTGTACTCTCCAGATACCCTATTCTCATCTTGAAGTTCCAATATCTACTCTTTAAACTTCATTGGATTTTAGTATTAGCCCAGAGCCAATGTACTTAACTCACTGAACAGTATAAAAAACTTCACAAATAGTATTTTATCTTTATGATTACTCCTTGGTATCTCTAGTGAATGAATTGGCAAATTATTTTTAAAAAACAGAAAATATTTTTGGGTAGCTCCAAATAAGAAGTATTTTACATTTTATTCCATTTTGGTGGAAAGGGAATGAAAGACATAGCTCTGAGGATAACAAGATGGTGCAGGATAGTTAATGGGTCTCCTTTCAATGGGTTGAGTTAAATCAATTCTCCTTTGCTGATCGCCTCAAATGCCCTCCAGGCATACAGCATAAACTGTGTTCTAATTTCCATAGCCTTGTGGTTTTGTGTAAGAATCTGAGAATGTTAGCTTTCCACTGACAACTGAGCAGTTAAAACAAGTGGGATCTTGGTGACTTGGCGTTGTTGTCTACAGGTATAAGGGAGTATTTGTGGAAAATGACCCATGCATTTGGAGGGCAGGGAAGGGACTCACAGGCATGTGGGGGGCAGGAGAAGGTAAAACAAAAAACAACACAGAGAAAATAAAAAGTGCCTTAGCTTGGTCCTACCGTATTGTACAATTCCTCTAGTCTGGAGATGGTGAGAAAACGGTGCATGCTTACTCCATTCTCTATGAGTAATTTCACAAAATCCACTCTGTCCAGAACTAGGGCATCCAACATGGCTTGTTCCAAAGACCCCACCTGCAAATCAAGTCACTGAGTTAGTCTGCCCCAGGGTCTAGGGATGTAGTTGTTTGGCGTTCCCCTGAACAGTTTAGAAATGGATGCCTTTGGTAAACCTTCAATGTATCCAAGAACATGTTGGTAAGACTATTCCCAACTCCACTTTTGGGACAGTCACAATCTCTCTTATGTTTTGGGGTCCGCCTTTGCAAATAAAATTCAAGGTTTCTAGTTCCAAAAACTATTTCCTCCTTGATTCTTTTTTCTTCTGGATCCTGAGAAGATGCAAGGTGGGGGCAGGGAGAAGGATTTTCCTTTCCCAGTTCTCTGACCAAACTTCTGTTAACACTAGTGAAATGCCAAAGTGGATACTTTGCTGTCCTCATTTTCTTCTTCCTGAGGCTCTGCATTAGATCCCTGGCTACCTTGCAAAAAGGGACCCTAGCAAAGAGATCAAAAAGTAGGCTCTTCTTTCTTTTAATTGTTAGACTATCTTGCCTCTGTCTCACCTAGTTTAGTGCACAGACCCTCAACTATTTAGGTCCTTCAGTCTGTTTGCTAGGGTTTTATTTAATCCCTTTCGCAAAATTTCCCCTGTGTCCAGACTCTTTGACCAATCGTTTCACACTAGCAATTCATTAGCAGCACTAAATAAAGGCAAGGGATCAACCAGAGGCGGAAGCTCTCTGGGGGAGAAGGAAGGGTTAAATAAGACCTGCCCATGAGGGCATTGCCCTTCAGTTATTCCAGGCACAGAGATCAAATTCAAGGCTGCTGGCTTCCTCTTGGGGACACATGAACAAACCACCCAATAGCCAATTTTCCAAGTTTTTATTTTTGGTAGTGTCAATTGAGGGAAACAACCCAAGAACAGTTATATAAACCTTTGCTTGCCTCTGTGTGGTTCTCGGGAATGGGGAGGGCCTGTGCTCAGCCACCAGATGGTACCTGCATGGGAAAGCCTGCTAATTCTGCATCCTGAGGTGCAACTGAGCCATGCACTAGCATGAGGGTGGCCAGGACTCAGAAGTGGCCACCTCCAAGACATCCAGAAACACACCACTAATTCCACTCCTTCCTTAATTTTCATTAATACCATTTTTGTCTTATATATTTTTTTAGACGTATAAAAGCAAAGGCATCGTTTGCAGCTGAAAATTGCCATCAAAGGCCACTCAGAGATGGAAACTCTGGAATGTTTGCCGGTGTGCTTTGTGGCGTCTTCAACCAGGTGGCAGTGTTTTCCTAAATATGAGAAAGGGGCTGAGCCAGAGGAGGATGGCCGCACAGGAGCATTTCCATCCTCGAGAAGAGGCAGCAGTTTCTCAAGCCACTCTCAGAGACTTCTTAAGCAAATACGTTTGCCCAAGCAAGTGGGCTTTTCGGGGGTGATGACATATACTCTACCGGCCACTGCTGCCCATAAATAAAGATCTGGCTGCGAGCGATGTCCACTCTGTTCCAGGCTAGAGCTAAGCTCAGCTGGTCTGGGGCCGAGGCATTGGCTCCTGTGTGCAGACAAGTAGGAGAAAAGAGTGGGAAAGAGAAAACAATGATCAGTTATTATGCTGAGAAGACCTACTCCATTACTCTCCGGTCAGTCCCCCTCTTCCTGAAGAGTAGACTCGGCTGTACAGAAGCGGTTCCCAGATTTGGCACTGTTGGTATTTGGGGCAGGATAATTCTTTACTGTGGGGGTCATTTTATACATTGTAGACTATTTGGCAGCATCCCTGAATTCAACCCAGTTGTTGCCAGTGGCCCCCCCTGCCCAAGTCATGACACCACCAAATGCCTCCAGGAGGAAGGAGACAAAATCAGCTCATTGAAGACCTCTGCTCAAGTGTTGCTGGTCAAAGTATGGCCCATGGAGCCAAACAGCAGCAGAAGCAGCATCACTCAGGCATTTATTAGAAATGCAAAGCTTTGGGGGGCGTGGGAGGCTCAGTGGGTTGGGTGTCTGACTATTGGTTTTGGCTCAGGTCATGATCTCATAGTTTGTAGATCTGAGCCCCACATCGGGCTCAGCACTGCCAGTGCGGCACTTGCTTGGGATTTTCTCTCTCTCCTTCTCTCTCTGCCCCTCCCCTGCTAGCACACATGCTTGCTCTCTCTCAAAAGTAATAAATAAACTTTATATATATATAAATAATTTTATTTAATTAAATAAATAATTTTAATTAAATAAATAAATATAATTAAATATATATAAATATATATTAAATAAAACAAAAACTGATGGTCATGGAGGAGGGCACTTGTGGGGATGAGCACTGGGTGTTATATGGAAACCAACATGACAATAAACTATTGGTGAAAAATTAAAAAATTAAACAAAAACTTTAATTCTTCAGTCACACTGGCCACATTTCAAATGCTCCATAGCAATAAATGGCTGGTGGCCTTTGAATTGGAAAGTGTTGATTCAGAACAATTCCATGATCACAGAATGTTCTATTGGAATAGAGCTGATCTAGATCATTGCATCCTGTCACTAAATGCAACCTGCCAAGCAGCTGGGTGTGAAGCCAAGAATGGTAGGTGGAGAAAACACTGGGCTACCTTCAGGGGACCTATGTCTGCCATTTTGCAGCTGTGTGACATTGGACGTCTCTGTGCCACTGTTTTATCATCTTGTGAAATGGGGACAATAAGATTGACCCTGTTTACTGGTTGGGATGAGACTAAAATGAAATCATATAGTGAATGCACATGTAAACAGGCTTTTTGCAATTAACACCCTTAGTATCCTAAACAGGAGACATCCTTAAATATTTTCCTGACTTCATGCTGCTAGATGTCCCACCAGCAGGGGAGCATCGTACAGACACAGCACTCTTGCATGGCTCAGATTTTTTTGACATCTAATATGTGCTAGGCAAAATACTAGACACTTATGTGTATTATTATATACAACGACCCCCCAAATCCTGAGAAATGGGTCTTATTATCTCCGTTTGATAGATGAAGATACTGAGGTCCAGAGAGGTTAAAAACCAAGTAGCGACTAACAGAAGGCAAACAGAAGAAACGTTTATCATGCCAGAGGTGAGATTCAGCCCCAGTGAGTTTTTCCTTCATTCCATCTCTGCCGATTCTGATGTTTGTGAGGAAAGGAGGGACAGCAAATGCTAACACTGCCCACTTTTCTGGATTTGTCAGCACTGGAGTCCCAAAGCGATGAGCTGCAGATAGGGTTGCTGGTGATGAAGCTGTATCAGTAATTCCCAAAGTCTCCTGCACATTAGAATCAACTGGGAAGCTTTTAAAACATCCGTATGCCCAGAGTGCACCCCAAAACAATTAAATCACATTGCTTGGGGGTGGGGGCCCAGCTCTGATAGTTTTAAGGATCTCCGGGTGTTTTCAATGTGCTCTAGGGCTTGTACATGATCCCTTCTGCTGCCTCCCCTTGCCTCTTCCCTCCTGGCTCTGAGATATGGAAGTTAAGAATTAGGCACGCAACACGTTCTCTAGAGGAGCACTTCTCAAATCTGAGCATGCGAAAGAATAAGCTGGAGAGCTTTTTAAAACACAGATTCTTGGGCCCCACTTCCAGAGACTCAGATTTAGTAGACCTGGGGTGGAGCCTGAGTTTCTGCATTTCTAATAGGCTCCCAGGTGGTCCTCATGCTGCTGATCTGGGACCTCCCTTTGAATAACAAAGGCCCCAGAGAGCCCTGTGCCACATTCTCTTCACAGGTCAAAGGGCATTTAGATTCTGGTATCCACAACATTAATGGGTTCAGTATACTTGTAGTAAATTAATTAGTGTTTGGAATGATGGATATTCATTCAGTTTATACAGGGATTTTTCCATTAAAAATTATTGATCACCTCAGGTAGTAACATCAGAAACTGCAAACTAATACCAGGGTAACTGGTGTAAACAAGTGAAAAATAGGACCACGTCAAAATGTACTGTCATCATTTTTAAGGAAAAAAAGTAAAGGCTCATTGGGTTGCATTTGGAAAGCAACTATATACTTTGCTTCCTTAGCTGCTCTGTTGGTCATCGCTGACCTGCTGTAATGGTTTAGTCTGTATGCCATCTGTATGCCACAGATTTGTATGTCACCCAGTCAACGGTAGCAGCACAGCCCACAAAAGAACACATAGGAGGAAGCAAAGTCATTGACATTAAAGTCAATGTGAGCTACCTGAATGTAATTACATAATTGTCAAGTGAGAGCACGAAGCCAGTGAATCTTGACTTTCCAAAAATTGAAAGTACATCAAGAATGATTCTGGGTGACAGTTTGGATCAGAGGGTCTCAGCCTGGGTGACCAACCATCCCAGTTGCCTAGGTTAGTCATGGTGTTAGCACTGAAATTTCCATTTCCTAGGGCAGCCCTTGGTCCTGCATAGACCTGGATGGCTGGTCACCCTATGCTCAACTGTGTCTGCATTTTGGAATTGCCTGAAAAGCTTAAAACAGACTCACACTTGGGAGCCATTACAGAGATTCTTTTTTTCATTGGGCCTGATCACTGCAGTTTATAAAAGCCCCCCAAGAGCTTTAAAATCTCCCTTTACATTAGAATCATGAAGGCAAGGTTAAGAACCTTGGGTGTAGATAATATATATTCCTTCACTCATTGATCTGTTTATTAATTTATTTACACATTAAAAAATACAGACTTTTTAAAAAATTTTTAACGTTTTTTCATTTTTGAGAGACAGAGACAGAGCATAAGTGGGGAAGGAGCAGAGAGAGGGAGACACAGAATCTGAAGTAGGCTCCAGGCTCTGAGCCATCAGCACAGAGCCCGATGCGAGGCTCGAACTCATGAACCACAAGATCATGACCTGAGTTGAAGTCGGATGCTTAACTGACTGAGCCACCCAGGCATCCCCTAAAATACAGATTTTATGCCTTCTCATATGGCAGGTATGATGCCAGTATGAGGACCAAGATGAGTAAGACAGAGTCCTTTGTCTTGAGAGCTTACTTGCTAGAGGAGGGGTTAGGTGTGTAAATACATCATCTCATGCAGTCTGCTCAACAGATATTGAGTGTGCCAGGAGCTGTTTTAACATTGAACATCCCCTGGTGAGTAAGGTAGCTAAGATCCCTCTTTGCACAGAGCTTAATGCTTACTTCTACTGGTGGAGGAGCAGCACTCAGAAAATAAATGAATAAACTGAGATACAGTGTACTTTCTGATTGTGTAAGTGCTATGAAGGAGCAGTGTCATTCCCAGGATAAGTGGGACCTGTGTCTATAGGAAGAATTCGAGTCACTCCAAATCAGTGTAGCAGCACCTTTCTGGCTACCCAGTCTCACATGATGTGGTCAGCTGGAGTGACCTGCTCTCTAGGCTGTCCTTCTGAAACCAGAGCTCGATATGAAGTCATTGGATAAGTTCATAGATACAATTCTGGGTGTCCTGTGGGGCATCTGGTTGACCCTGGGAGGGAACGAGAGGGTTGGAAGATGCCCTAAAGTATTGAAATGGGTCTGGGGTCTATGAAGATCCTGGTTTGGGCTAAGGGTTATGCCACCCATATGACACAGCTGCCCTGGCTCATGCCAGTTCCTAGGTGGGCATAAAGAAGGCCCTTTAAAGCACTGGTTTAATGGTGGTACTGACAATGACCAGGGTGGTGGTAGAGCTGCTCTATTAGGGTGAATGGACAATAGACCTCCCTGAGAATAACATTTGAACTGGACCTAAATAATTAGAAAATACCATCATGTGTGGTGGTTGGGGTGGGGGTGGGGAGAGCATTCCAGAAGAGGCAACATCAAATATAAAGGTCCTGATGTGGGAATGAATACAAGTAGGTATAAGACATAAAAAATATGGTTTTATTATTTCTTCTTTCTGCAGGAGGCCAGGGAAGATTTAAGTGCATATATAATGGTCTTCAGGGAGGTATTAATTCACTAGATGGATGACATGAAGAAAGGCATTGTACTAAAAGAAACAGCCTAGGCAGGGATTGGGAGAGTTAAATAGCTCTGCAAATTTAGGAAATTCATGGGAAGACACTGAGGAAGATTCAATGCTTGAGGTATATGTGAGTGGGCAGAGAGAGCTGAAGCCAGAATGGAAGGACTTGTAAATGATTGTGGAGGAGTCTCTCTTTACCCTGGAGACATGGGGAAATGACTGGAAACACTTGGTTCAGAAATCACATGTCAGATGTACATCTTAGAAAAATTCCTTTGGCACCAGTATGAAGGGTGGATTGGAAGGGACATTGGACTGGAGGGAGGAAGAGATAAGGAAAGTATTGCAATATTTAAGGAAAGGGATAAGGATCTGAAGGAGCAGCTTGGATGGAGAGATATTTAGAAAGCACAATTGATAGCTTTGGATGAGAGATTTAAGGTGAGGAGCAAAAGAAGTCAAAAGTGGTCTCCTCATCTCTAGCTTGGGGGCCTGGCTCCATAATGGCCAATTGAGATTGGCAATGTAAGATAAACATAAGCTTTTGGGGGGCAGCAAAATTGCATTCTTGAATATAATGAGTTTAAAATGCTTGTGGTATAGCCATCCA